CCCTAACCCTAACCCTAACCCTAACCCTAACCCTAACCCTAACCCTAACCCTAACCCTAACCCTAACCCTAACCCTAACCCTAACCCTAAGCCGCCGAGAGAGCTGCTGGCGAGGTCGTCGTCGCCTGGGTGCATCAAGATATCGCCCGATCCGTCGTTGTCCAACGAGCAGACGTTGGCCCGCAGAGTACGGGTCTTTTCGACCTTGGGACAGTCCCTGGCAATATGTTCGCTGCTACCGCATCCGTAGCACTGGCGATTCTCTCGACGATGACGACGCAGTTCCTCCAAGAGTCCGTTGCAATCGTGGCTCTCCTGGCTTTTACCAGACTTGTCCTGGTACCTGCTCTTGGGCGTCTCCGCCATCGTGGTTGCTCTGGCCGTCGTGACACTCTTGAACTGCTCTTCACCGGCCGTGTTGGAGCGTTGAGCCGTTTGGTTAGCAACCGAGTCTACGAGGCCAGTTTCATGCATCTGTTGCTCGGTGCAAATGCAAGCGTCCACGTACTCGTGGAAATCCTGGGTTTGGATGTGCAGCGCCTGGCGACGGAAACTCATCTTGAGCCCCAGTTGGAAAGTTGCCAAGAGCTGTGAGAGGTCCGTGGCGTGGGAGCGGTTGGCGAGGGCCTGGAACTCTGCCGCGTATGCGCTGACGCTGCCCGTCTGCCTCAGCTGTTGCAGCTTGATCCTGACAGTGTGGCCAGGCAACGGGTCACCATAGGTGCGTCGCAGGTCGGCGCAGTACACCTCCCAGCTGTGGAACAGGGGATCCATGGTGGGCGAGAGGCGCAGGTTGCGCAGGCGGTCCCGCGGGGCGCCCGTAACATGAGCCATGGCCCACAGGACTCGGCGATGATCGTCCTTAAATCGCGTGGGGTTGAGGTCGAAATGCAGTTCGCACTGTTCGAGGTATGCCTCAAGGTCGTCGCGTTCGCCATCCCAAGAAGGGGCGGTGATGCAGATCTTGGGTGCCTTCTCAGCCAGGGCGTCCTGGTGAGGCGTCTTGGTGAAAAGCACGTTGGCCTGGCGGTTGCGGTTCACGTCTTGCTGGAAACGCAACCCCTCCTCAACGCCAGTACCCAGCATGGAACGGGCGAAGCGCAGGGCCGAGGCCGTGGGCGCTCCAGGAACGCCTGGTTCGCCGGCAGCCTCGGAGGCCACCTCGGAGGCCCTGGTGCTAGGCGGGGCACGGTCCGATCGCAGGGAGGAGGCGCGCTCGACCCGTTCAGACTGCAAGTCGCGCACCTGCAGCAAAAGGTCTTGGACCAGAGCGAGCATGGGACCCAGGGCGGCAGAAACGGCGCTGGCGATGGCGCCGGCCGTCGTGGTACTGTCCACGGTATCCAGGGTTGCGTGGGGGTTTCCATCATGCCCAGGCTCGACGCGCTCCTCAGAGGAGTGGCCACTGGCCGTCTGGCTACGGGTGATAGGCATGTTGTGGGACATGGTGATCTCCGGGTTGTGCTGGCAACGGGGAGGTCGATTGTAGTGTTACGCGCCAAGGGTCTGAGGACCTCTCTGACGAAGGTGTGAGGCTTGGCGGTAGTGAGGGATAGTGGCAAGCTTGGTGTTGCCACGTACGTTGCCAGGACGTCGTGGGAAATCGCAGGTTACGTTGCGAAGGTCTGATTTCACCTACTAGTGGGAGTAAGATAAAATACAATCGACGGCCTCCCAGATGGCCTTGCGGCACTGGTGCGCCTACTTATAACACGATGCGAGTTGGCCATTTCGACTCATCTGTCTGTCTGTCCTAGCGTGGCTGTCGTGGCTTTCCTGTGCTCCTTGCGGGCATGCCTGTACCCACCGGTGTCATCTGAACGCGTCGAAACTCTAAGTCGCGTACGCGCCAACGCGACAACGTCTGAGCTTGCGCGTTGTCGCGCGAACGACCCACGCTGTCGTGGAATGCAACTCGCCGAAGACCGCACCAATGTAACAGTGGCACGTCTCCGAATCCCACGTCAACGTGGCTTGCTTGCAACACCAGCAGGCCCGCGTTCGTAACACATCATTCCACCATCGCCATAAAACCCTAACCCTAAGGTTTGTAACACCTCTGCCAATAACAACTAGCTTGTTATGCTGTGCACAGGCCGCATGTGTGTGTGTGTGTTGAGTGACGTTATCTCATTAGGCTTGTAGCGCTAACATCATCTTAGTGGCAAGGTTGTGGGACCTCAAGTGGACTTATCACACAAGGTAGCGTACATCAACATTATAATGTTATGGTGAGCTAGCCAACATCAACATTATAACATTATGGTGAGCTAGCGTACAGCGTGAAAATCTAACGTTGACTTGCCAAACAGGGAGTAATGTTGATTTGCCAAACAGGAAATAAAACTAAATTTTTGGTGCCTCAATTTTTCGTGCAACTTTAATGCAGAAGTTCATTATGAGAGTTTCGACTGTAGCCGCCGCGCAACAACGACGCCGAACCTTCCCTTGCTTGCATCACCTGGTACCTTACTCTGAAGCACGTACCTTTTGAACACTCATTGGCATTGGATGCACGTCTCTCAGCAGAGATTGGGATCCCATCCTTCGTCTACACAATACATTCTCGTCGCTGGATGCCGTGAGATTCGGGGTTGCCAGTGGTTGCGTCGCGCCACACGGATCGGATCACAAATGACGCTCCAGGATCAAGTCTCGCTGTACGCAGCTTCCGATGGTGAAGTCGTGGTCGCCGACCTTGTTGAAGGCGTGTCGCTCGAGGTAGAACTTTTGCGCTTTGAGGTTCTCTTCCCATACGCCGAGCCATATCGCCTTGAATCCTTGCGCGATCGCGTAGTCAAGCGCTTGGCTCATGAGCTTCGAGCCGACGCCGCGGCCGTGCGCCTTCGAGGCCGTGTAGATGCGCTGCAGCTCGATAGTGTGTGGCGGCTTGATCTGGAGGCATGGCTCGTCGGAGAAGCGATTGAGCTGGGCAAACCCGAGCAGCTCGTTGGTCGTATCGTCGCGAGCGACGTAGAAGAGGTAGGTGTGTGTATCCTCGATTTCGCTCTGTATTCTTTCGGCGGTGTACGAGCTCTTGAGGTAGTTGTCCATGTCCTCGGCGGGCATGGAATGGGCGAACGAATCGAAGAATACGCTTGCGCCCAGGGATGCGATCTCGGCGGCGTCGGTAGCTTGGGCATGCCTGATGGTGAACTGAATGGGTTCGACCGTCATGCTTGCATCTGTGTCGCTTCTTGGTCCTCTATTGGAATCGTTTAGGTGGTTGTCTGAGGCACGAGAAACCTTTCGAGACAAGCAACCTTTAGCCCAATCTAAGCGACGACTCGGGCTGCACGAGAACCACGCAAGGGTCCAAAGACCACCGCCAAACTCGCTGTCGGAAATATCGGAAAAGGAATCGGAGAAATCTAAGACGATGGCTGCGGACCACGTGGATCAGCGCCGCTCACGATTGCATCTGGAGGGTCAAGGAATCATCTCGAAGCAGCTTTTCGTGACTCCTACAGAGAAAGTACAAGGACACCATTCAGGGTCCGGGCTGTGTGGATAGCCGGCAGATGTCCTCGAATGTGCATAAGACGACGTTGCGTCCATTGAACCCTCGGCAGATTCGCCGGCCGTTCTCGTGGCTTCAAAAACAAGCGATTTGTTTGGTCTGAATCTGTCAGGACCTTGCCTTCGCTCTCGGATCCGAGCTACCATGGGTCAGAAAAGGTCGCCTTACAAGCCGCTTGATGCGGGGTTGAGTGCATGTATAGGAACGTGAAAGGACAGTGGATCACGCTTAGAGCGGAGCTGAACTGAGCTGTCGGAGGAGCTCAGGCCCGCTTGGATAAAATGTGGATTGCTCACCGCTCTTGCCGTGGGAAAACCGACCTTGCTCGCGTCGCCGCTTACCGCCGCCGCCGCGAAGGAATGTTCCTCGAGGGTCAGGAGAACGGGACATCGGACTTGCAAAAGCCGCGCGCTTCCTGCGAGAACACGGATCGGAAGAACGGTCTCACCAAAGCCCAGCTTCTATGCATTTGACAGCCGCTTCTGCTTCCATGGCGATGCCCACGGTTCGCGCGTCTGTTGGTTTCAGGACACCTGTTCGGAAATATTGGAGAACACAGAGCGAAATGTTGTCCGCATGGCGTGCGTGCCACCTCCCTCTGGCATTTGGTCTCCTGAACTGGCGGAAGGAGCGCCCTGGATTCGTTACTTCAAGGGAAGATGAGGCCCGACCCCTTTAGGCAATCCGCAGCTTGCGCCCACGGGCCGCTGGCGTTCAGAGCACGATACATATAAGAGCAGTCCGGGCGACATCGATGCCCTGTGTTGTGGCAGACATTAATAGCTGAGCTGACTGTTCGCTCCCAAAACCTCGCAACTTAGCCACGATGGAGCTCAAGGTCACGCTGTCCGACTCGGTGCTCGTACTGTCTCGTCAAGACTGTCCTGGCAGAACCGAGATGTCAGACGCACCTCCAGCTTACGAGCAGACGATGGCGGATTTCAGCTTGCTCCGGCACTCGTCGGCGTCATCGTCAGCAACTTCTTCATGTGCGTCATCTTCATCGGCGTTCCCATCCTCCTCCTCGCCAGGACCATGCCCGTTCCTAGCGTCATCTTCAAGGCTTCTTTTGAGCGCGAAGATCACGCTCAGCGTCCCCGCAAGCCAGAAGTCAAGGCACCTGCTCAATTCGCTGACCGCCAGGCTCGTCGCCAACGAGTCCCTCGTGTACAACAGTGGCGCGTTTGAGCAGAGTCGCCTTATCGATATCTGCGTTCGCGTCGCTATTCCAGACGAGTGCATCTTGCACCCTGGTCATTCGCATACCTTCCAAGCCGAGATCCCTTATTCGAGCCATCTACCTTCGAGCGTGCAGCTCCCCGATGCAAGACTGACGTATAAGGTTTGCGTCGAGGCCAAGACACTGCCTGCCAGCTCCAAAAAGTCGTGGTTGACAACCGCCCTACAAGGCACGACGCTGACCGACTCGTGCGGTTTGTTAGTCGTTCAAGCTGCCGAGATGGTCCCGTACAAGTTCTCCAACATCAAATACGTCGATATTGGTGGACTTGGCCAGGCGTGCATCTCGGTGACCCCGTCGCCTTGCATCATAGGCGAAGCGACGTTGCTCAGCCTCGCCCTGACCAACCCTCATCCATCTGGCAAGATCACCGGCGTCGAGTCGAGTCTGATTCAAGACTATCACTTGCGCTCGCAACACAGTGCGCATTCGTCCAACGGCTTGTCCAAGCACTACAAGCCAAGATTGGTCGTCAAGCTCGACTCGACGCCTGTGACATGTGGCTCTCCGACGGGCGCGCTTGATCTTCGCCGAGCGGCGACGACCAAGGGCGAAGCTCGAACCGTTACAACCGAGACGTACGAATTCCGAGTCCAGATGCCCGATCAGACCGTCGTGCAATCCTCAACGCTAGATCAAGAAGCGTCGAGCCCAACGATTCTTATTTCACATCACCTTCAGGTTCGCGTTGACTTTGTCGATACGGCGGATCAGCCCGGATCCTTTGTCTGCCTGTTGCCCGTCACGTTGGCTCTCATCGAGGCCGCTCACCGGTCGGACGCTGAGTACCCCCCTCCTTATGTAGCCGCTGGTGTCTCTACGACACCGCTAGTCCTTCCGCAGCCTTCCGAGGTTGCGTCCGCAGTGTTGGTGTTCTATGTAAATGCATTGTCATGCTACTATTAACAAATTCCGTTACATTTGGCCTCAAAGCGCATGAGGAAGGGGAACTTGGTCGAGAGCCAGGCCCGCACAATCTTGACCCAGATCATGGGGTCTTCTGGCTCGAACTCGGACCTAAATCCGTGACTGAAAGCCCAGTGGTGCCGTTCGTCCGGGGTCTGCTCTGTGTATACGCCATGCTGTTTGAACGAAAAGAGCGACGAGACGGGGTCATTGTCCAAGAACATGAGAGTATTGACCGTCTGGGTGCGATTCAGCAGCGTCGGCGTAACCCGAGGCTCTTCGTAGACGAACGAGTGGCTGTACCGCGACAACAAGTCGATCACCACGTCCAGTCGGCGAGCCTGACGTGAGCTCGGCGAAGCCTTGATCGTGAAATCACTAATTTGCCACGTCGAGACGAGCGGCAAATGGTCTATCGACGCCATGGTCAGCTCGGGTGGTGGCAAAAATGCTGAGAGCCCTTGAAGGCCCGACTTGTGCGTGAGGTGGTAGAGTACGCATTGGCCGCAATTTGGCGCGGCTTGCGTCATGCGCCTAAAGAGTTCCGCCACGCTCGGCGGCTTCTTGACGTTGGCGAAGAGTGTCTGGACGCACTCGCCAGAAAGTCCGCATATGGGCGGCTGCGGTTCTCCCGGTTTGAGCTTCTCGGCAGCGGCAACTTGAGCGGGAGTGTGGGGCGTCAAGAGCGCAGAACCATCCATGGAGGTACGGATCGGCTTGAGCTCGGTCATCAAGGGGAGGTGCAAGCGTGCCAGATTGGCGTTGAGCGTGTCATTCTCGGTGGTGGTGCGAACAGGAAACGCAGCCGGCGCAATCACAGGTTTTTGCGGGTCTGGTGCGCCAAGCTCCGAGAGCAAAGCGGCCCTTTCCTCAGCGGAATAGACGCCATCTCCGTCGCGGTCATGCCTTGCAACGAAGAAGGACCAAAGGAGCGCCTCGCGATATCTTTCGGCCATGTAATGAGCATGCAAGGTGTTGAGATCGACGGCACTGCTGGGAGAGGCAGAAGCGGCAAGCGTGAGCTGACTCGGCCAAGTTCGAGAGAGTTCTTCCAAGATGGTATGCGAGAGTGGCTGAGGCAGATCGATGAGCCTCCTGCGCGCGGTGGTGCCGAACCTGCGATCGAGAAGAGCGTTGGCGCGAAAGAAGGGAGCGTCGTCGGAGCTGGACATATTGCTCTGTTGAGTTGGAAGGTGACCCGCAGGGCTCCAATCGGCACTGATACGAAAGAGGGGGCCCAGGAGAGGCGACCAGAAGTCGGATGCAGACATGTGACGTGACATGATGTGATGGGGCGAGACGAGCAAGCGTACGTCGGAGAGATGGGCTGCTCTTGCGACAAGAAGCTGCGATGCGGTGGCAGGCGTCGACGCCGCAACGGTCGAGGGGGATGAGCAGTGTTCTCTAGTCAGATCGACATGGCCGTCGCACGCCACTTGACGGTGGTGGAACAGTCTGGGAGGCTCGTAGACACGGTCCTTGGGGTCAAACCAGCACGGACGCTGACCATGACGGTCATGTCCCGAAGCGTCCTTGTAGAGATGTGTACAGAATTGCTGCTTCTCTGGCGACGTCGAGGCACGGGCGGCGAGCGCGGGCACGTCTGGGGTGAGAAGATTGACGGTGCCAAAGCCGGTCTGCATGTGAGCCCTTGCGGATCGCATCGAGTAGCGAAGCAGATCCATCGAGGCGAGGTAGCTCTGGTCGGTCTGGGATGAATCGAGGCTGCCGTTGCTCCATGGCCAAACCGCATCGAGCTTGTTCTGTCGTGACCATTGCCTGGGTGGATTGGGGCAGATGGTGCCGGACTGGAACCACTGGAGTCTGCACTGGCGGAGCTGACCCTCCTGACGCGCCCATTGCGCATCGGAAAGCGCATTGCTGTAGTCTCTTAGCTGGGTTTTGGTGATGATGGTAAGGGAAGCACTGTCTGGATCGCGCAGAGAGCCCGAGCCTTTGTGATAGAGGTAGAGGAGGATGGCCAGGGCGGGGACTGCCAAGAGCACCATTCGAGAGCGCCGAATGCGCACGCCTTGACTTGAGCCGAGCATGACAAGCTCCTCGACGTGGGTGTTGATGAGCTTGTTGGCCGAAGCTTGGCCACGATGGTGGTCAAGATCAACGACGATGGCTACAAAACATCAAAGCACAGAAGGAATGCTTCGAAGGCCTAACAGAGAGCGGCAGTGTGTAGACCTTCTGACACCGCGGGAAGCATCTGCATAAATATCGAAAGGGTTTGGGCGGAGAGCGAAAATCCATCAAGATTTTAATATGAATTTTCGTAAGATCGACTGAGCTTCTGCAGAGGCCATGGCTCAGCCGCGCTTGCAAACCACACACGCGACTTGCAACTCACTCTGTACAGACAGTCTCAGCGAAAGACTGCACTGCGACACTTACGACATGCAAATCCAGCTAAGATGGGCTCGCTTGCTTGAAACGGGTATAATTGATGAGCATGAGAAGGAACTTATGGTTTGCGAGCTGCGCCGACGCGAATATAGCAATACGTGCTCGCCAAGACGAGCGAGCTTCCCACAAATTGGGTCGACGAGGGCAGTTGCGAGGTCAGGATGCTTTCCATGGCGATGGTGGTGATGATGGCCAGGCTGGTCGCAAAGCCCTTCATGATGGTGTCGGCGTATCGCAACGTGGCGGATACGACATAGCCGGCGAGGCCACGCAGCACCACGGTAAACCAAGCCAGCGCGGTAAAGTTGTTAAAAGGCGCCCACCTTGCCTGTGCGATGGCCTCAAACACCACAGCCGCGCCGGCGGTGATCATTGCAAACGTGGCGAGCTGAGCGTTGCGCACCGACAGAGGAACCGACATGCTCGTCTTCAATTTGGTCTCGATGTAGACGCCGGCGTAGCTGCCGCAGGTGCAGGCGAGCACCATGAGCAAGGCTCCCACCGCCAACTGTGCGCTTGCGTGTTGACGCGCCAGGGCCACTGCACTGCCCAGCAAGGCGGTGGAGCCAGCTAGACGATGCTTGAAAGGCGAGTCAAACCCGGGCTCGGTCGAGCTGAGCATGGCTGCCGCATCCATGACATCGTGGTGCGAAATGGGCTTCTGCACCAAGAACACGACGCCAGTCAAGAGGATGGGCAAGCACAGCCACTGTCGCGATGAAAGCAGTGTGGTGCGGAAGAGGTACGAGCTGATAACGGCAGCCGTAATTAGCTTGAGTTGCGAGAGACCTTGATAGGCGATCGAGCTGAGGTACGAGTTGGCGGCCAGCTGGAGCATATTTTGGCAGACGTAGACCAGAGCAGGGACGCCCATCATCCACGCCGAGGGGCAGTAGATCTCGCCAAACACATGACGTACTTTGTCTTGCAAGGATGGCGCTGTCGGAGCCATGGGAGGCGACCGAGGCGAGACAGGCGAGACAGGCCGTCCGTCCGAGGAGGAGGAGGAGGAAGAGGAGGCGTCGTCTGAATCTTGCGAAGGCCTCTTTTCCGAGAAGAGTGGCAGCGTGGTGCCATCAGTGGCGGGCGCAGTCTGTGTTCGTTTGGAACATACTGCCATGGCGAAACCGAGCGAGAGCTTGAAGAGCTCCGACATGAAGACGGAAGTTGCGATCGAGTACCTTGCCTGACCGGCGCCGCGCGAGCGTTGCGAAACGATGCTGGTGACCGAAGTGAAGAAGATGAGCACGAGCAAGCTGGCCCACTTTTTGAAGGCATGGCTCGATGCGTCGGAGGTCGACATGCTGCGGTTGGGCCTTGCGCTACTCGCAGCAATCAAGTTCGCGATGGCCAAGAGGAGAATCGCGTACGGCTTGACAAGCGGTCGAGAGCCAGCTGACGACGGATTGGATCAGTGCGGCTTTGATTCAAGCCAACACAAGGTGACGAGACGATGGACGATCGCAACAGACGGGTCGATGATGGTGATGGTAAAGTTGATGAGCGTGGATCTATCTGTTGGCCTTGACGAGACGACTGCAAGAACACACGCCGAGGAGGGCGATGCGAGAGTCTGGGCTGCTCTCTCTCCCTCTCGCTCTTGCTTCGCCGCGCTCGCACAAGGGTCCACGGCTAAATTGCAAGCGGAAGCTATAGATGCCGCTCAAGCGAAGTCGATCCACAGCTTCAATGCTTCTGATGCACCCACGAGAATGCCCGTGCTGAGGCCGGCTTCAGTGGCGTCAAGTTGGTTTCTAGAGAGAAGACGCCATAGAGAGGGATGACAGTCTCACAACGTTGCAAAGGGCATTGAGCCCCAACTGTGGCCGGCTTGGTGGAAGCAACTTGATTCTGAACGATCTGCAAGAAGCCGTCTCACACGGGGAAGTGAGCGGGAAGCACGAGGTCCGTGGTGGCTTGGAGCGCACCCCCGGGACAAGGCGAATTTCATGCTGAAACCTTAGACCGAATCGATGATCTTGACCAAAAAAAACGCTAAGTTGATTAGACGGTGAGCAGCGGCCAGCAGTTCGCAGCAGCAAGACAGCCAAACGCGGGACGCCTCGCGCAGGAACCAACGCCTGCTGAGCTGGCGCAAAAGTCCGCTTTTGAAAAACAAAAACGAATTAAGAAAAACAAAAAAGCCGATCGAATTCGATTTTTCTCTGATGATAGGTGCTCGATGCTCGGTGCTCGGCCTTGTGTTCTCCAAGAAGAGCGTCCCGTGTCTCGTGTGTCTGTCGTCGTATGTACGCGCCTCGGAGTTGGTTGTCGCCCCATCTGCTGTCCCACAGCCAGCCACTCTGTCCCGTGTGTTTTGACCGACACATCTTGGCAATCGTCATCGGTTGTCTTGTCTGCTTGAATGTACTCGCAAAGCACGGATGCCCAAAGGGTGAGCACGAGTGGTGTTCCACATCTGACAGCTCAACAGGTTTAGCAGCGCTTACTGGGGTAGATCGGATTGGTGTGCATAACCGAGCGAGCACGCCTGCCATTTCTCAGCCTTTGCGCCATCTTCGAGCAACGAGACTCACTCACTTGCTCGCGCGCTCGGCGTTCTTTCTCGTGCGTCTTCTCGGAACGGCTGCAAGCGACCGGCCTCAGAGCCGCCAAGTATTCTCATCCGTACGAACCCATGATCGGCGGTGCGTCATGCAAGCGCTCTCGTCTCGGATGCGTCTCGTAAGCATACTCTAAGCTTTGCGATTACTGATGAAGGTGCGGCGATGGAAACGGGGACAGAGACAGAGACGAATGCATAGGTGAACGCGCCAAGAGCAGCTTCAAGGCGAGCCCTAGTGAGAGCAACGCACCAGCCATTCATTCCTGGCGTCGAGTATGAGGCTTGTCTTCTTGTGACGCAGCTCTGGCGTTCCTCCAAACGTGATACCGGTTCCTGATGGGCTCTTCAATCACAAAGGTTGTGAAAGTCGCAATGGCGAATGCGAGGCCCGTGGGTCCGTAGTTGTTGGCAGGCCATCCCACCATGGCGTGGCACGGGAACTGCCAGAGGTACCACGAGTACGAGATGCGTCCTGGGAATCGCAAAATCTGTGACTCGAGGATCACGTTGCCGTTGACGCTGCCGATCACCACCATCAAGACCAAGATCGAGGTCCACAGCTCCAGCCACGCGCCCTCGGTGCGATAATCGTAGCCCCACGAGATCAGCGTCCATCCCCAAAAGTAGACGCCCAACAGCAACGTCACGGTGCTGACGAACCCAAACCACTTTTTGGTCCAGAGGGTGGGCATCGGCAGCAGACGGCCGGCGCATCCGATAAACATCTTGAAGGCGTTGGCGGTGTAGGCGTAGCGATAGTCGATGCCGTACATGTGGTCACTGAGGAAAGCGTAGCCGCTGTAGTGTCGAACGAAGAAGCTCACCGAGATGAGCGCGCCCAGAGCCATAGCCCTTCGACGCTGCGAAAGCGGTACGATAAAGGCAATGACCAACGACCAGAAAATGTAGAACTGCTCCTCGACCGCGAGCGACCAGGTGTGCTCGAACATGCCAGGGAACATGAGTCTTGGCTCGTCCACCTGCTTGGGCAAGAAGTTGTGCACATAAAAGAACGCCGCGAATGCGTCGGCGCGAATGGTGGGGTAGAAGCGGCACTGATACGTAACGATAACCACCATGAGGGCCATGGCAGGCGTCAGGCGTACGAATCGATCCAAGTAGAATCGCGGCAGATACGACAAGCGCTCGCCCAAGGATACCTTTTCAGATGTGCCCGACGCTTGTTGCCTTGCTTGATCGTACTTTTCGATGAGCGAGACGAGCACGCCCGTGATGAGGAAACCGGAGAGGACAAAGAAGATGCCCACACCCATGGTGCCGATCATCTCCTTGTGCAATGCGACGTGCGAGTACATGACCATGGACACGGCCAAGCCTCGCAGACCTTCCCAACCAGGGACAAATCCGAGTTTGCCGAGCACCTTGAAGTTGCTCGGACGAAGCGAGCCTGACGAGTGAAGTGGGAGCGTGCTTGACGACTTCTCTAATGTGACGTCGGGGCTCGCTTCGCGTGACGGTCGACGCGATGGCTGCCCCTTGATCTCTTCCTCCATGGCGCTACCAGCGGTCATGGTGCCTGCTTTGCTTGTGAGATATCGGCCAAAGGAAAGCGAGAGAGCGGTTACGCGTGGAGATGATCCAGACCGAGAGTCACCGAAACGAGGTGGTGGTGGCGAGCAGCAAGGAAGGGAGCGCGGGATGTGTAGGCGGAAGTGAGGGAAAGGAGGGGGGAACACAAGAAGGTGTAGGAGGATCGAGGGCGCGATCAAGGTCTTGACAAGCGAATCGAGAAGCCGCGGGACGAGGAGGACGACACGGGACTGGCCAGCCAAGGGAGCTGTATTGTTAGGGTCCATTTATTATTTTGTCTTAGCCGAGCGAGCTGCAGTGAGAAGCAAGGCTGGAATTCATTTTTTAATTTCCTTGTTTCATGCACGTCAAGGCAGGACGGGAAGGGTTTCAAACGCTCGTCCGACCCTCGTGCAGCGCTCTCTCCCTTTTCTATGGGTCGGTGTGCGAAATGCCATTCAAAAGAGGCCTCGTTGGATTCAGGGCAGAGCGCAAGGACAGCTGATAACAATAGGCAAGACCTGCATGAACGTATAATCAAATTGGTTTCTTCCTGACCGACCCTTCTTCTTGCCTTGCGCACGGGAGAAACAAATGACCGGGATGGTTCGCACTCGTACCAACAAGACGTGACGATGCCAAGCTGGATAGATAGGCGTACATAGACAGCAACACCATCTTGATACGTAACCACAAGCGTTCACAGCCATCATCAATCGCACCTCGGCTCGCCGTTTGTTTGGGTACATTCACGACTCGAGCCCACTCAAGTGGGCGTCAGCTGCTGCCAAACGCATCCACCTATCGCAGCCTCAACAGCTGCTCTAGCTCGGCTTTTTGGCACCATGTCGATGCAAATGAGCGATCTCAAGCTGGATCGCGGCGACGTCTCCTCCTCGCGTCTCAGAAACAACGCATTCGCTCCCTACACATCGGATGGCAGCGCTGATGAATCTAGCTCGCAGCGCTATCGATCCGCTTCCCCAAGCAGCACATCTATATATCGCACTGCTGGTCCGTCTGGTTCGCCAAAGAGTCAGCTCGCCTGGAAGATCGCTGGTGGTCTCGGCGCGCTGGGCCTCTTATTGATCCTCGCTGGACGCCTCGGCGTCTCCCACAAGGGCGTCTCGTCTTACTACACTACATCGCCCACTGCCAGGTATCACAAGGCCCGCGAATCCATCGACGACATCCTTGACAGGTGCGATCATGCCGATATCCATGACATCAAGTGCAAGGTTGATTACGCCGAAAAGCTTGCCTCGGAGCTCGTCGCTCGTCAATCGCGCACGCTAGATCAGGCCGTGATCGAATACGAGCGCCGTTACAACCGAAAATCTTCCCCTAGCATGGAAAAGTGGTTCCAACTTGCTCTCGAAAACAATGTCACCATTATTGACGACTACGACCAGGTCAATACTGACATCCAGTTCTACGTCCAGTCCGGCCTCGTGGGCGAAAAGCTCAAAGCCAGACTCCTGGAAGCCAAGATCGTCGTGGCCGATCCCGGTCAGGGCCAACTCAGCATTGTCGACGGTCAAGCGGTCATCTTTGGTCCCGACCGAGGCTCCCTCTCGGCCACTTCCGTCATCGAGCTTCTCAAGCCGGTTCAGCACATCATTCCCGACTTTACCATCCCGTTCAACTGGTACTCAGAGCCCAAGATGCCCCATCCCACCGCTCGGTCAGAGTCGGATCCCATGAACTTGGAATGGATAGGAGGCAAAGACCCAACAGAGGCTTTGCAGCGCGCATGCCCTTCCAATCATATTGCACCCGCCAGATCCTGGGATGCTCTGTTATCTCCTCTCGACTACTGCGAGGACTCTCGTACTGGTATCGCCCGCCGCCACGGGTTCTTTCAGGCGCCCGACGGATTCGGTCCGCTCAACAAGCTCGTACCCGTGCTCTCCCGAGCAAAGCTCTCTAACTTCGCTGACATCATCGCTCCCAACGTCTGCTACTCGGTTCCGGATTATCGAGGCTCGGCGGACCCCGTTTCTTGGGAAGACAAAGAGGACAGTCTATATTGGCGTGGCGCCTTCACCGGCTTGGCTCCGACGCCGGAAAATTGGGCGGGTGGTCATCGGCATCGAATGGGTCGCTACACCAAGCAGCTGCGTGAAGCATACGCCAAGCTCACCCACGGTGTCGAGCGAGATGCCTTCGACACAAAATTTGCCCCTAACAGGACCATCGTGCCGACGCGCGATTCTGTCCATGTCGGCAACAACACGCTTCCGCTGTTTGATTACAACGACCACGAGCTCGTAGAAACGATCAAGCGGCTTGGGCCCAACACCTTCAACGTTGGCTTTTACACCTACAGACCCGCCGCGGTCGAGGTGCAAAAGGTCTACTCCAAATACTTCCCCGTGACCGGCTATGAAGTGCGCGACACGATCAACCATTACAAGTACCTCCTCGACAGCGACGGCCAATCCATGTCTTGCCGCTTCTACCACCTCCTCTCGACCAACGCCGTTGTCTTCAAGCAGACCATCTGGTCCGAGTCGCACGACGAGCGCATCGTTCCCTGGATCCACTATGTGCCCTTGGATCTCCGTATCGAGAGCAACGAGCTGCCCTACATGCTCGACTTTTTCCAGAATCATCCGCAGGGGCCCGAAACAGCTCGCAAGATTGCAGCAGCATCGGCGCGATGGGCTCAGAACACGCTGCGTAGGATCGACGTATCTCTGGCCTTTGCTCGAGTCTTGATCGAATACGCGGACCAGCTTTACCACGCACAGAGCTGAACTCGCGTGTCCTGGTCAGCGACTCATCCTGCACTTACTCAATATCATCGTCTTAACCGTAACACAAGTCTTCACGAGTCAATCCACGGCGGCTGAATTGACCAGCTTGTGTAGCTTGTGCAGCCTGCGACTGGTTGCTGTTGTCTCCATCCGCGACGTCTACGTGCCTAGGGCTGGCAGCAGTGACAAGAGCGCGCCAGTCGAGGCTGAAGAATGACTTGTTAGACCGAAGCATCCTTTCCAGGTTTCGACATGCCAAAAATGTTGTGCAGTTCCGAGGCTGAGTAAAATACTTATTCAGTAGATTGCCGTCCAAGAGCCGAGCTGGCTGAGCTTGAGCGGTTGCACTGGATGAGTTCTGATGCGATGCCTCGAGCCTATATCTGAACCACCAAGTCAATATGGTCTCGGTCTTGCAGCAAGAGCCAGAGCAGCAGCCGCAGCAGCAGCAACACAGCCACCACAACGACGACGACGACTCTGTTGACGACTCCGACAATGAGGCTACAGCTTCCACCTCTCAGCACCCCCTCCACCCGTCCGCCGACAAACCAGATAAGGTGACTACGGAAAAGAAGGTCTCTTGTCAGCCATGTCGAGAAGCCAAGGTGAAATGCATTCCCTCTCCCGACCCATCCTCGTCCGACTGCACGCGATGCCTCAAGCTCGACCGTCCGTGCTTCTATCGCACGCACAAGCGCGGTCGCAAACCAGGCAAAATCAAGTTCCAACAGATCCTCAGAAGACTCGAGCTTCTAGACAGGACGCTAACTGAGCTCAGGGAGCTCAACGACGAGGTCGGCGATCCAGATGCCGGCAACTTGATCGAAACCTTGATGTGGCAGCTGCGGCGAAGCAAGTTTTTCGACAAGAGCAACGCGATCACTACAGATCTGCGACAAGATCAAGGTGCCAAAGAGGTCAAAAGAGAGCGCGAGGCAAGCACACCTTCCGTGCTGAACGCAGGGGACGGCAGCAGTGGTCGCGGCACGCCCATTCCGCCCGTCGTTCCCATGAGTGTGCACAAGGGTAGATCGGATTTTAACATGCTGGTCGATCTGGAAGATCACGCCTCCGTAGCAAGGGTACCAGACGAGTTCCCCACTCTGAGCAATCCGCTCAAGCTCCTGGCTCAAGCAAGTAGTGAGGAGAGCGAGAGGAGAGGCTTGATTGCGAAACATCACAGGTCGGAGGGGAGCAGTAGAAGCTCTGGTTTGAGGATGCAGGTGAGTCTGGAAGAGGGAAATGGGGACAAGGACGATGAGGACGGACACGCAAAGGTAGCAAGCGGTTCGAGCAGTCAGGCCCAGAACGAGGAGGCGAGCGATCAGCTCAGAAGCGATACGGCGAGGAAAAGACGTCGCTCGAAATCCCCCGCTTCGAATGCCGACGCCTCGAGCTCTCGACCCCCTCAGCAGACCGTCTCGAGGGGCAACACCACCGCAACGTCCTGGGCCTCGACGTACTTCTCCCGTGGCGCCTTCCATCCCGTCTATGACAATACCCCCGAGCACGACCCAATCGACTTGCATCTTCTCTCGCTCGCCCAAGCTACTCGCCTGGTCTCGACATTCTACGCCTCGTTCGGCACCTTTATGCACATCTTCGACCCGGATCTCTCGACCATTACGTACATCCGCAAGCACTCTGCCTTTCTGCTGACCGTCATCTGCGCGCTCTCTGCCGAGTTCGAGTCCTCCCCCGACCCCGCAGTCCAGACGGATTCGGCCTCGCTGGCGCTGACACTGCGCAAACACTACGAGGGCATGATCACCTGGCTCACCGCTTCCGACTACAAAAACGTCGAGATGGCGCAGGCCTTTTTCCTGTTGGCGTCGTATCGGCCAATGTCGGACAGCGCTATGTCCGACCAGACCTGGCTGTTCCTCGGCACCGCCATCCGCATCGCCACCGAGCTCGGATGCAACCTGACTTGCTACTCGTACTCCACCTCGTCATCTTCGCTACCACCGGGCGCCGCAAGGGACCATTACCAGCGCCAGCTGCGCAATACGGAACGGCTGTGGATCAACCTATGGAACCTCGAAAAGACGCTGGCGAGCCAGACGGGTCAACGTATGCATCTGGCGGACGAGGGCGTGGTGGCACACTGTTCGCGATGGCATCGCATGGACTGTGCGCTGAGGCAGGACGAAGTGTTAGTGGCTCAAGTCGAGCTGCGGCGGGTGATGATTGACAAGTCGGATCACTTCAACACGCACGTGCTGCGAAGTCTGGGTGCAAGACGCCGGCTTGGCGACAATATCTCGGACACAACGCACCAAGCCGAAGGCGACGACGCCCAAGACGTCCTCAGCACCGCCGAAAGGGACCAGCTCTCGCTCCAACTCAGCTACTTCCGCAACGCGGTCTCGATGGATCTCAAACGGTGGGAGGAGCGATGGCTCTCGTCCTCGATGGCAAGCTCGACCCCAACACCGCTCCAGATCACCGGCCCCCTCTGGCTCGACTACGCCGCCCTCGTCACTTACGCCCTCCCCTTGCCCATCAGCTACAACGTCGACGTCACGCCCGAACTCACCCATCTCTACCGCCACTGCTACATCAGCTGCACCAACTACATGGCCACGTTTATCGACCGGTCCCAGCGTGGGCTCATGGATCACATCACCAATTCGACGATCGTGTCCACCGTTTATGCGGTGGTATTCGCGCTGGATCTGGCGAGGAAGGCTATCCGCCAAAGGGACGGACCGAACTCGGGTGTGGACTTTGGTTTTGTCAGCGCGAAACGCGTGGTGAACCTGGCAAGGATGACGGCGAAGGAGCTGGACGCGATCGGCGCATCCAAGAGCGGAAGGAGAGGTCGGAGCATCGCTAGCAAGTACAGCGTGTTTCTGCGAGGGGTGCTGGCCCGGTTCGAGCCGGAGGACGACGGAGAGGAGGTGGAGGGCGAGACAGAGAGGGCTGCTGTTGGGCGTGGATTCAGCGCTCAAAACCCGAAGAGCGATCCGACCATCAATGCTCACCCTACATCCTCGGCTACCGACACGATGGATGGTCAAGATCGCCATCTGAGGCGGGACCACAACCATCCGCTTCCACATCGTCCGCACGGTGGACCCGGCTCGTCTGTGCCGCATGCCAATCTGGCGACGGCGACAGGCAAACAAGGGACCAGAGCCTCGCACTTTTACTCGTCGAACCTGATGTTTTCGCCGCAGCCCTCGCACCCTGCCGCACCCCACGGGTCACTTCCGACCTCGGGCGGCTTGGGAGGCTGGTCGGCCCCCGCTCCGTCGCCCGCCAATCCGCACCATCCATCCTCCGAGTCTGTGGGCCGGTTTGTGCCCCCGCACCACCACCATCCCGCTGAACCTTCGCAGAACTGGCAGAGCGCAGCAGGACCAGCAGCGCTTAACAGCCCAGCAACGTGGTTCGCGCACCAACTTCCTGGCGCGCTCGAAGACCCGAGCTGGGAATGGATGATGAAGGATCTGGATTTCTTCAGTGTGGATGGAGGTGGAGGTGGCGGCGAGCCCATCTTGGATCAGATGGGACGGCTCTTTGGTTGAGCGCTCACAACCCCGTTGGTCCAGACTACAGCCATTGGGAATGGGAACGCAGGTGAGCAACTTTCGGTGCAGTCGGACCCTCGCCTGCTCGATCATGGCACATGGGTGCGTTTCGACCTTCGTGCACCGTCAATCTCACCGTCTCACGATCGTTCCACATCCACGGTCTTGTGTCAACTTTTGCGCGGTATGGACCTGTTTCCGTGGTGTCAATGGCGCAGGGATTGCTGTTGCATCGCGAGTCTACACTATTTCATCTATGCGAGCAGCTCACTTGATCTTGGTTTCGACTCGCTGCAGCACCGCCGTAGCGAGTAGCAGAGCGCCCGTCACCACCGCCACCGCGGCCACCTTGACCATATTCGCCCGGTGTGTCAGTGTGTACTTGACATAGACCAACTGCGCATGTTCGCTCGAGCATCCCTTTTTGGTCAATTGCACCGCCGGCCTGCCCATGGTATCGAGATACGTCTTGACGATGCCATTGTCGACGTTGTCCATGGGAAAGGGCAGTTCGATGCTCACCCGCGTTGCGCCCTCTGGCAGCACGATCGTGGTGCTCAGCTCGTCCACCGCCACATCCTTGAGCGGCGTGAACAGAGGGATGGCGGTAAGGTAATCGTCCGAGCCCGCGATGCGCTTGGTCCACCCACCCGAAGAGAGCGGGAGCGTGTAGCCGATGCCAAACGTGTAGTTCCAGCCGCCGAGCAGCGGGAAGCGAGGTTGCAGCTCCAGCAGCGAGAGTCTGGAGATGAGCGCTTGTGTGGCAGGGATGCCAACCGTAGAGGTCAGTAGCGACGGATCGGGCGATGAGGAGCGGAAACGTGAAGTGGAGACGTTGCCAATCTGGTCGATGAACCAAGGGTCTTTGGTCCCTGCGGGCAGTGTAAAAGTCAAGGTGGAGAGTGCGGAGCCAGAAGCGCGGTTGTAGAAGGACGACATCTGGTGCTCAATCCTGGAAAAGTGTCCTTTGAGCTTGGGCCCAGCGTTGCGGAGGAGCATGCGGTCGGTGATGGAGAGCGCATCGCCCCAGTGGCTGATCTCGGCGGTGCGATCGAGGGTGACGATGGTTGCCCGAGGAGCGTCCGCTTGGAAGTGTACGGAACCCTTGGCGACAGGTGACGAGGTGGAATAGGGCGCAACGCGTTCGAAAGGACCATAGGTGACGATGCTGCCGGACTTGGTGGCGTCCTCGGGGGTGAAGGAGACGATTCTGGGCGAGGCGGCTTTGACCTTGATGCGACCGCTGTCGGTGGTGTAGGGGGAGCGAATGGCGGCGTCGCCGTTCCAGAGGAACAGCTGCGGGTCGGTCTGCTTGACAGTCTCGGGCAGCGGGGTGGTGATGTGGTTGAGCGTGGTTTCGAGCGTCAAGGTCGCGCCGTCGGCACCCAGCACGCTTGTCGGAACCAGCGCTTCGAACAGATAACTGTCTGTATCACCGTCGATCGCGCCCTGCGGCGAAAAGTCGATGAGGGGTCGAACACCGCCCTTGTACTCGGAGCTGGAGGCGAGGGGCGAATCGAGCGCGGGCTTGATCGTCATTCGGCTCCACGAGAGGTGTTGGGCTTCGTGTGCGCTCAGCAGGAAGTAGTACGGCAGCACATCGGCCGATAGTGTCGACTTGGGCCTGATCGAGATGGTAGTGAGGGTGTGCGATGTTGAGCCAGTGAGGTCGATCTGCTTGACGTAGTTGGAGTTGATCCAGTCGTTGGAGGATGGGAGTAAGACTGCGTTGGCCATGCTCGTACACAGCGCCAGCAGAGTGGCCAAGAGCACCAATATCGCCGAAGCAGCGCTTGGTCTGCTTGACCGCGCCATGTTGAATGTGTGTGCCTTGTCGATGAGGGGCGTGGTTGAAAGGTAAAGAGGAGGAGATCAGGCTCGAGGCTCAACTGGACTGGACAGTGCGCGCTGCCTTTCTTCTTCCAGCTCAGTCGGCTCAGCCTGGACTGCCGAGAGCTGAGCCGCACGAGAATTCTTTTCTTGTCGCAAAACCGTTCTCGATCTGACATCTGACTTTGAAATTGGTGCTGCAAACAAACACTCAACGCGAAGGAAAAGATCGACTCGACGCGCTCGTGTTGCTCTCTCAGAAATCACACTTGAAGCTCAGCCAAGAGAGCATTGCTAAAGTCACACACACTCGGCTGCTTGACTGCTCACTCTGCACCTGGCTAGATCCAATGTCCTCTCAACCACCTACCATCACCAATCATCACCGTACCACAGCTGTGTACTGCTTTCGTGCAGCGCCAATATGGTCGTCGTGGCGTGTCCCAACTCGTCGCTCGTAGACGTACATATCGATCCGGATCGCATCCCCTCCTCCTCGACCTCCAAGTACGACTATGCCTCGGCCTACTCTCGCATTCGTTCTGCAGCACGAACAGCCGGCCCAGGCGTATCCAGCGTGCTCATCCTCAGCTCGCCTGATGTTGACTCGGTCTGCGCCACTCGCATCCTCACCTCACTACTGCTGCAAGACGACATTCCACACCGCATCGTGCCAGTCGAAGGGTACCGGTCGCTGCTCAGCACCCTTTCGACCGTGTTCTCTGCATCAGACTCAGACGCACAACAGCCAAGCTCGTCCAGCTCGACAGATGTACGCTCGGTCATCTTCATCAACCTTGGCGCCGTGCTCAGTCTGCCGACCACGTTCAACATTCCAGCCAGCTGCACAATTCATGTCATCGACTCGCACCGTCCATGGAATCTGGAGAACCTCTTTGCGACGAGTCATGCCAACGATAGAGTCTGGTGCTGGGACGACGGCGAGATTGCCACCAAGCTGTGCAGGCAGGGAGGCGAGAGGGATGCGTTTGAAAAGCTCGAATTTGACGTCGAGTCAGATTCAGAGGAAGACTCGGACGACGACGACGACGACGCCGACAGTGCAGCCGACTCTGCTCACAGCGACGACCACGACGATGACGACGAGGATGGGCCAGCTGGCAAGCGCAAACGCTCGTCTCGCTCTCGCTCCCACGACAGCACCAAGAGGCGGCATCGTCAACGGTCTCCCACCTCATCCAGCGCGCGGCTCACCAACGCAGAACGCCATCGATACCGGAATGTTCTCACGCGCTATTACAACCGAGGCGAGAGCTTCGGCATGTCAGTCTCTTCGATGCTCTATCTCCTCTGTGAATCGCTGGGTCGAGCGGACCGCGAATCCCTCTGGCTCGCCATAATCGGCCTCACCTCGCTCTATCTCTCGAACAGCATCGACTTCGAAACCTACGAGACCTACTCGTCCGCCTACGCTTCGGAAGTCATCGCCATCGAGCCCACCTCGTCCAACGCTCCCACCGAAGCGTGGTCGCTCGACCTGCTCTCCAAGGACCCAGACTCGGAAGAAGCCGCCACGAGCCGATCCACCGCAGCCTCTCGCGCCCAGAACCGAACGCTGCGCTCCGTCATTTCAAAAAACACCAAATCCGAAGATGCCGATGACCGCTCCATCCGCATCATTCCGTCCGAGCTACGCTTCACTCTGTACCGGCACTGGAGCCTCGAGACGGCCATGTACCACACAGCGTACGTTGCCGCCAAGCTGGGCGTGTGGCGCGAGCGCGGCTTGTCCAAGTTGCGTGGACTGATGGCCAAGATGGGCTTCTCCCTCACCGCTGTGCGTCAGAACTACACGCACATGCCGCTTGACCTGCGTCGCAGCCTGGTGCGCAAACTCGAGGGTATCGCGCCTGAGTACGGTCTCACCGAATTAACCTACCGTGGGTTCGAGCGCAGTTTCGGGTTCCGCACCGCCCCCTTGGGAGCAGCGGACGTGGTGGAGGGCGTCTCGGCTCTGCTCGTCGCGGCACATGGGGTCAAGATCGAAGTCGAAACGCCAGGAATGGTGTTCGCCTCTGCCAGCTCCGGCGGTGGTGCGCCACTAGGCAACAGCTACGCAGCCAATCTCAACCCTGCCAATCCCAATGCGCAGACTTCAGAACTGTTCGCCACCAAACGCGTCTGGTCGCTCGGGACCACTCTCACAGACAGCATCACATCCGCCATCGCCGCCACTACCTCCGCTGGCAGCGGCAAGGACCAAGCGGGTGCCAATGCCGGATTGGATCTGGACGCGATCGCCTCGCAGGCCGGGGCATCCGCCGAGGACATTGCCGCCCTCGAATCCGCAGAGAGGCAGGTATGGATCGCCAACTTCTACGAGGCCTACCGCGCGCTCGACTTTAGTCGCTCCACGTCGGTCGATCTGCTCCGCTCGTCGCTGCTACTCAGCCAGGCACTGCACCGCAAGATCGTCGCCCGCGGTATCGGACTCATTACAAATCAGAGCATTCGTACGCTCAAAAACTTCCGCCTGGCCATCCTCAAGGACGGCTCCGACCTGGAGCTCTTTGCCAACGTCGAGGTGCTCGCCCGCCTCGCAAACTGGCTCACCACCTCGCTACGCGACATCATTGTCGAGCAGCAGACCCAGGCGGCTGCTAAGAAGAAGGGCGGCAACAACGCTGCAGCGTACGCGCCCCTACCGTTCATCCTAGCCGCCCTACACCCGGCCAAGGACAGCTTCCTGGTGCTGGGCTCCACAGGCAGCGCGGTCCACGGCATGGTCGAGAACAACCACTTCACCGCCGCCTTTCAGCACGCGGCCAAAATGAGCGGCGCGCGAGTCCGACACGATCGCTTTCAGACGTTCAGCATTCAGGTGAGAAAGAGCGATCTGGCGGGCTTTGTCGAGAAGGTTCACTTGAAGATCAAGTAATTGCAATGTCTAAGATGCAGAGCCAGTAGGCGAGCGACTAGTATTTATGCTTGTCCGGCAACGCCTTGGGTGTGTAGTTGCCTGGCAGGAAGTGCTTATCGCACAACTCAGAGAAAGGCTTTGTGGTGTTGGGCGAGGCCATCATGACTGTCGTTTTGCTGAGCACTGCTTGCACTCGACGAGTCAGAGCTCGGTCCACTGTGCTGCCACTCCACCAGAAGCGCGACTGGATCTGCGGCATCATCCAAGGCTTGACGAAGCCGGGGAGATGCAAAATGCCCGGAATGAATTTTGAGATGGTGCTATGCAAGAGCCATGGCTGCGTGCCGTTGAGAGTTTGAGCCGAAAGCAGCTTGGACGCCTCGTCTGGTGGCAAACTGAGCATCTCCTTTCGTGTGCCTTGGGATGCGATGCGCGGCTGCCATTCGAATTCGTCTTCGCACGCCCACAAGGGCTTGATGAGTTGGCCTTCGAAATCGAGCTTGATCTGCATCTGCTGTCGGTAGTACATGACGGCGAAGATGGTTTGATCGTCCCAGACTTTCTTGCCCCAGGTGTCGTTCTTCCAGTAATGGATCACGGCGGCATACAGCTCGCGAGCATCCTTTGCATATGCGATCATGGTACCAGAGTTGAGGTATCTTGGGACCGCCTTTTGTTGAGAGGTCGAGGTAGGCCATCGGTTCTCCTTGCCCCAGATGTCCTCTTTTGTGAAGGGCGCTTCCGGCACGTTGCAGTAGGGCATCTCGTCGGATGGTGGGGTGCCTCCATAGCAATGCTTTTCAGCGCCAAAGAGCATGCGCTCACCAGATACGATGAACTCAGCCGCGACCTCCCGCACGGAGCGTTGAAGAAGAGCATCGAAGCCATCAACAAAGATGACAATGTCGTTGTCGTCGGCGTGGTCGACGAGGAATTGGTGGACAGCACGCACCTTTTCGAAGAAGACATCAGGTTGAACGAGAGGGAATCCCCAGCTCAAGATTGTTGGTTCGGCGTCGTTCATGACGGCAGCAGCAAGGCAGAAGCAGAAGTTCTGCGTGGCTTTGGTCGCTGGCATGAGATAATGGATCTTGTTGATTTTGGCCAACTCCTTGCGAGGCCAGCGAGAATCGGCTGCTTGCACTCGAGCACCTGGTCGTAGCAAGATGCCGATTTGCATGCCGAAACAAACGAGACCGAGTAGCATCAAGCCCAATTTGAACCAGCCGCTCTGAAGTTGCGAGAGCAAGAGGCTGCGAACCGAAGTCTTGCTGTGCGAACGGTAGTCTCGCAATCGCGGAGCTCCTGCCTCCTCCATCTCGTAGTCGTGCGATTCGCGAGGCAAGAGCTTGGCGCCCTCGACCTCGTTTGAGTCCTGCGGAAGGCTCTCGTAGTCTGACATTTCCGAGAGGGTAGCTTTGCTCTGTGAGGGACTGTCGTGGTATGGCTCGAGCTTGTCCGGGTTTGGCATTTGCGTTTGGTGATGGGGCCAGGGGTGTGCAGGGATCGTTGTCCGAGTGAGAGACAGACTCAAACAAGGGTATGGGGAGCTATATAGTCTTGCAAGAACAAAGGCTTTGAATTGGCCTCAGAAGCGTTGGAATGCGGAAGAGGCGCGCGCATTCGTTTGTCCGACCGAGCAAGCCGGACACGAGACGAGACGGAGCAACAGACCCTTGTGGTCTCAGACTGGGTCAATGCCGGTCTACAGTAGAGGTTCGGTACACAGTCGACTGGGGCAGCCCAATTTTTTTTGTGCACCGTCGCTTGGAATGTTGCAAGACAAGGTTCTCGTCGCTTGATCTGGCAGCAGATAGAGTACACGCGATTGCACCTGATGAACAAGAAGCCGCGCTGCAAGACTTGATTAATAGAAGTGAAAAACAATAGTGCTCATGCATGCAGAGCTTCCCGCTTCCCGTGCCTAAGCGAATCGAATTCAGCGTGCCCTCTTTGACAATCGTGTCGCGGTCTGTCTCATTCTAAGCTGTCCAGCCCTTGATTCGGGCGCAACATGCACAGGCAATCCAAGTCAATTGCAGCCCTCGCCGAGCGACTTGGGTTCAAAACTGTGGCTTCCGTCCCTGTCTCGGACACGCAACCTGTCCCAAAGTAGAATGAATCCTTGCAAAGCCTAAGAGCTGCCCATCTGCTCGGCACGGCACGGCGAGGCCATCACCGAGGTCTTTGAGATTGCTCCTCGTCGAGTTGTCACTGAGGCGAGCTGTTGTGCTTTGTCAAGCTAACCATCCGACCTTCATCTACGCTTGCCGTCTTCTGAGGCTCATCGGCCCTGCTGCCGCCATGGAGCAACATCATCACGCCAATACAGACGGTACCAAATCCGCCTCGTCCTCATCCTCGTCCTCCATCTCAAGCTATCCGCCATCGCTCGCCGCCAATCAACCAGCGTGGTTGCGTCCAAACGGTCGGGCTCCCAGTCAGTCTCTGCGACAGCGTGTCTTTGACCTCTTCGAGTCAAAGCATTCCACGCCGCCCACAACATCAAGAGGCACAACCGGCCAGCCCTGGTCGGAAGCTGACAACAACATGCCCAAGGGTATATTAGCGTCCCTTCAAGACCTTTTCCGCCATCGTTTGTGCAAGAGATTCATCATCATCGCATGCGTCTTGTACGGTCTAACGCTCTCGTACTCTTTTTCGCGCTCCAGAGATGTTGGCGTTGGCGGTTTTGGCAGCCAGGTGGCAAGTCAACCGAGCTTGCAGCTTGCTGACACTTGTCCTCGCATCTTCTCTGATCCCCAAGTCGCCATCAAATGTCATGTCGAGCTGGCCCAACGCAAATTCGATGCCATGGTGGCGCGCCAATCGCAAACCTACGAGCAGGCGGTGCAGCGATACGTGGAGCAGTACAATCGACAGCCTCCGCCTGGCTTTCAAGACTGGTTCACTTTCGCAAAGGCCAACAACGCGATCATCATTGATGATTACGGTCAGCTCGAGCAAGATCTTGCACCTCTGCGCAAGATTCCAGCCCATGTCCTGCGTCAGCGAATGAAGAACGGTCGCAAGACCGGCATGTGGGAACTACACCAGTGGGACTTCAAAAACGGCACTGTCTCGACCGGGGCAAAGCACGGGACCGTCAACGCTTTCAAGGGCATCCTCCAACCCTTCGTTCACAAACTTCCCGACTTCAGCGTTCTGCAGAACTGGGATGACAACCATCGTGTCTGCGGTCCTAAACCGGGCGAGGTCGAAGATGTCAACGACACAACAGTGATCGAGGTTGGCACATCCGGTGACCCTGATGCAATGGATCATCTGACCATCGGCTGTCCACGAAACACCGAAACAACCTCGTCCGTCACCAGCGATCGTCCGTCAGTCGACTTCTGCAAGCATACGCATGATTGGATGAACCAGCATGGCATCTTCCGCGTCCATAATGGCTGCTTCAACTCTACTGTTCCGGTCCTGTCTCTCACCAAGATCTCGAGCTTTCAGGACATCACCACGGCTTCGTGGTGCTACGGAGCCGATGGATATCGTCTTTGGGGTCTCAATCCGAGCGGCAAAGACTCGGACCACGTGGCGTACCGAGACAAGAGGGCACGCATCTACTGGCGTGGTAGCAACACCGGATCTAGGCGTGGCAAGAAGCCACACTACTACGGACACCGCGAGCGCCTTGTCATGATGGGCGCTCAGATGCAGAAAAAAGCTGCCGAGCTTGCGGCACGTTACAAGGGGCAAAGCTTGCCCGGAACCTTTACGCAAGACGATGTCAAGCGCGTCGAGCTGCCCGAGATGCCAAAGACGTTCACGCAGCTTCAGCTCTCAGCTCTCTCGCGGCTCGACCCAGAAGCGATCGACATGAACTTTGTTGGTCTGCACGGCTGCCAGAACGATCCCGAGCGCTGTGCAGAATGGGAGAAGACATTCCCCCTTGCGGCCCATCAGGATTCGTCGTTTGCGTTCCGGAACAAATTCCTCATGGATATCGATGGCAACTCGATGTCCTGTCGCTTCTACCGGTTGCTTGACAGCAACAGCTTGGTGTTCAAGCAGACCATCTACGTGGAATGGCATGATGATCGCATCGTGCCGTGGCTTCACTACGTCCCGGTCTCCAAGGGCATGGAGGAGCTTCCTATCTTGCTCGATTACTTCACCAACGATCCGACAGGCCAAGCGCTAGGCGAGATGATCGCAAACACATCCAGGGATTGGTCGAACAGCGCTTTGAGGAAGATCGACCTTAGCGTCTACACGTACAGGCAGATGCTCGAGCTGGCTCATATCATCGGACACGACTAAAAGGCTGCTTAGTGCGGCTGCATCAAACGTCACGGGAATAGAAGCAACGCAATATCCAAGTGGAAGGTGGTGGTGCGAGCGGTGTATGGCTGTGATTGCAAGAAGGGTCGAGTGAATCATGACGTTGTGGTCTCCCGTTTCTTCTTTGGACTTGTTGAAAAGCCCATTGCCAACAAGTTGTTCTTCTGCGTTGGCAGCTTCTTGCCTTTTGAAACGCTTTCCTTGATCGAGCCATCCGGCGGGACGCCGATCTGCATCAGATCATAAAACTTGTCCCAATGCTCGTTAGGAAAGATGCCGCCGCTTGCCTGGGGATGCCCATTGAACGCATTGCCTCCGACGGCCTGCATCACCTCCTTCTTCCACTCCGGGTCCGTGTCGGCGTAGCTATTGAGCACCTCGATGATGTTGACCTCCTCGCCGCGCTTTTTGGCCACCTGGGCGATGCGGCAGCTGAAATTGACGAGGCCGGGGTTGTAGCCGTCGTTGGCGCACATGACCACTTGGAGGTTCTTGCTCTTCAGCGCGCCGGTCCAGCGAGTTGCGATGGACGGATGGACCTGGTATGCCGAGGTGATGCGGAGGAGCGCTACGCGGCCGTCTTTGGAAAATTTGGGCGGGGTGTGTGTGCAGCGCTCGGTCTCGAGCCCCACGGCATCGCGGGCCTCGTACAGCCGTAAAGCGTGCTTGTTGGTGGCGGGATCGAGGATGGTGAGCGGAGAGGTCGAGGCGAGTAGCGCAGACCAGGCGGTGATGACGTCGAAGTCGGGTGTTCGACGAGGCGCGTTGAGCAGAGCAATGGCAGAGCCGAGTCGCTTCTTTGTCCACTTTTTCACTTCTGGTACGAGATCTGGGAATGGTGGATCCCACTCGACATTGACGCTCAGGTCGCCCATTGTGCCGAGTACTGCGACGTAGTCGATTTGATCTTGTGCGAGCTGCTGCTGGGCCCCGGACCATAACGGACGGCAGAGCACCCATGTCAATAGAGAGGCGGTGGCTACAGGCTTGTGATGACACGCATTGAGCATGAGACATCCTTGCGGCCCCGGTGATCCTTCCGCTAGCCAATGGTGATCCACGACCATGGTGCGAACGGCTTCTGGATGGCCCGACTCCCAGCCATGCTCAGCACCCGGTACGATGGGTGGGCCATTCCTGGAGCCCTGGTCGAGAACGACGATCCATTTAGCACCGTACTCTGACATCGAGTCGCGCTGTCCCTCGGCGGCAGGATTGCTGCCTTTGGTCATGAGATGGACGTCGATGCGAGATGGGTCGATGCGGAGAGCTTGGACCAGCGTGCGGCACATGATGACGCCGGAGCAGAGACCGTCTGCATCTTTGTCCGGGACAAGGAGGACACGCTCGGACGCTGGAGAGGCTGCGAGCGCTCGAAGGAAGTCGGTTGCCTCGTGCAGCTTCGAGGGAGGTGCTGGCCATTCCGGATGATCTGAAGACAGACGGGCCACTTCAATACTGGCCGCTGTCGGCGGAGGTGATGGAGTATCAACTTTGTTCTTGGAAGAACCTGCTTTGGCGCGCTTCGGTGGGGATGTGGTGAGAGTACTCGTCAATGACGAAGCAGTTCGTTTGGACATGGTGGCGGGTCGGAGAGCGAGAATCGGTGTTTGGAGCGACTTTGCGGATGGTTTTGGAATTAGTGTGAAGACAGACCGTTGAAAGAATCGACGGGTCATGCCTTTCAAGTAGCAGGCGCGAAGCTGGTCAGCAGGATGGTGGACGATGACAGGGAGCGTTGCGGGTATGGTCAAGACATCAGTCAGAGTGGTCGTGCAGCAAGGGTCCAAGCCTGCATGCTTTGGCTGCAGCACTTTGACCTCACGTCATTCAGCAGACGCCATGGAGCAATTTATTGAAGCTGTTAGACTCACTTTCTGACCCGCAGCATTAAGTAATACTGACTTTGCGCGCTGAAAGACTTTCGGGTGCGGAGCGTCGGCTGAGCCGGTCTCGAGTTGAAAGCCAAAGGCGGGTGTCCCAAGTGATCCGGCTAATGGCGACAAGGCTTGATCGTCCTTCTCGCCATCATTATCATCGTCCTCACTCGTCATCATGATCGCTACTTCTATGATCCCTCGCGTCGCGCTTCGCACAGCATTGCCTCTCCGCCGAGGCTTTGCCACCTCCCGTGTCGACCTCGCCAACACCCTCGTCTTCCTCGAGCACAAGAAGGGCAACTTTGCTGCTGCTACCCTTTCGGCTCTCACCGCAGCACAGAAGCTCGGCGGTGACATCGATGCGCTTGTTGTCGGTGGTGACGACGCCAGCCAGGTCGCCGACAAGGCTGCCAAGCTCCCTGGCCTCAAGAAGGTTCTCTTTGCCAAGCACGCCGACTTTGCCAACAACCTCTCCGAGCCGCTTGCACCTTTGATCAAGAAGATTGTCGAGTCCAACTCGTACACCCACGTCTGCACAGGTCACACTGCCGTTGGTCGTGACATCTTCCCTCGAGCTGCTGCTCTTCTCGACTCATCCCAAGTCTCCGACATTATCGGTCTCGAGGGTGAGGACACCTTTGTGCGCCCCATTTACGCCGGCAACGCCATCGCTACCCTCAAGAGCTCGGACAAGGTCAAGGTCTTCACCGTCCGTGGCACTGCTTTCGACGCTGCCGCGCTGGAAGGCGGAAGCGCCACCACCGAGGAGGTCAAGCCTGATGGTGTCGAGTCGCTCACCGACTTTGTCGAGGAGAAGGTCTCCGAGTCGTCTCGCCCCGACCTTGCCACTGCTCCCCGTGTCGTCTCGGGCGGCCGTGCGCTCAAGTCGGCTGACAACTTTGTCAAGTACATTGAGCCCCTCGCTGACTCGCTCAACGCCGCCGTCGGTGCTTCGCGTGCTGCCGTCGATGCCGGTTACGCCGACAACGCGCTCCAGGTCGGTCAGACTGGTAAGATCATTGCTCCCGAGCTCTACGTCGCCGTGGGCATCTCGGGTGCTATTCAGCACTTGGCCGGCATGAAGGACAGCAAGACCATCGTTGCCATCAACAAGGACGCCGATGCTCCTATCTTCCAGGTCGCTGATCTTGGACTGGTGGCCGACCTCTACGAGGCTGTCCCTGAGATGCTCGAGAAGATCAAGTAGACTCGTAGCAGTCTCATCGCCAGTCTGTTGAATCTATCGTACAATGTGTCATCAGCTGCGTTCATGTTTGTGCTACATTGAGTATGCGTATCGAGACGCAAGCTGTCTTTGAGCTGCCTGCGCTCTCGGCCTTGATCTGAGTGGATAAAACTCACAACGCTCGTCCGCTCAGTTGGCAGCGCGAGACGATTTTCGCGTAACGCGAACTGATCCTAAAAGTGTCACAAACGCACGGATGCCGTTGAGAAGAACAACACTTTTTGCAACACCTCGTGCGTCCATCGTCCCTCTTGCGTCCATCTCTCAATCCATCCCTCGTCAAACATACACAGCGCCATGGCCAGCTAGCGACAACAGCCGATCTCAACAGTATGCCTATTCCCTTGAGAGACGGCTCCGTCGTCGGCGATGGCAGTCAAATTGGCATGTTTCCCGTGCTCGCCGATCAACGCCTCGATAAGCCTGCCACGCTTCTTCGCACTTCCACCAACCCGCGCATGGATCTCGTTCTGCTCATCGTGCAAGATGCTGCCGCTCCATCGAGTGCTGCAGCCACTGCGCCTCCAGGCATGTCAGCAGCCCAGTTCGCTCTTGTCCAACGAATGCTCGCCGCTCGTCAACGGGGCGCACAGGCTAACAACAACCGAGGCGTACCCGATCCTAAGCGTGGGCCTCAGATCCATCTCGTTCTCTGGCGTATGGGCGATGACAGTAGCGTTGCATGGTCCGTTGTTCTTGACTTTGACAAGCTCATGGATCCAGCCCTGAATGCGCCGGGAGCATCGCAGCAAGAGTACGAGGATGTAAACCTCCACGACGTTGCTTGGAGCCCCCAAGGCGATCGTGTTGCCGTTTTGGCAAGCGTGAGCAGATCAGCAGTCGCATCTACATCCTCTTCAAGCGCTCGGACCAAGACATTCCTCCGGACATACTCGGTCCAGGACGGTCGCCTCCTCTCCACGGTTGCCGTCAGCTCCGCAGGCGATGCCAAAGCTTTCGAGGAGTCAATGACAGTCCGATGGTACGACATCGACTTTGGTCTAGCAAACGACGCCATCGGTAGCAGCAGCGAATCTCTTCTCATCAAGTTGTCGCCGCTTCCCACGCTACCTGCCGCTGATACCTTTGCATCTGCAGGAGGCACTGGTAGTCTCATGCCGCATCAGCTCAGGATGATGCAGATGAGCGGCCAAAAGCCCACACCGAGCTTTCAATTTCCATCGCATCTTGCGTTGCAGGGCCGAGGTCCCCTCGCGAAAGTCCCGCACTTGGCGAAGACGGCCACGGAGCTGCGGCTCTTGGAAGGTGGGGATGCAGCGATCGCGCTCGATCCGGACAGTGCGCTGCCATTGGCGCCAGAGACTATCGTCCTAGTCGGTCGGCCACAAAGTGCCCAAGTTGATCTCGTACTGGACGGTCAGAGCAACATTGGCTCGTTGAAGATTCCCCAAGATGCTCATCGACTTGATTCAGCCATGGAGCGATTCTGCACTCTCTCCCTCTCACACGACATGCAACGAGTCTTCTCGACCTTCACAGCAGGCAACATGGCCACTTCAGTTCATCAATTACGACTGCCGTTGCCGTTCAACACCCGATATGGACCGCTTGACTCGCGTCGCAAAGTGGCCGCTATCAGCCGCACAAGCCATCTATTACGCTTCTATCTCGGCTACGCACTCGATGCCGCCTCGGCCTCGCAGCAGGTCTATCAGCACGAGCTCCTGCAAAAAGTCACCACCGAATGGACTAAGAACATCGACGATCTCAGCCTCAAATTCGGCGGCGACATGAGGTACGAGTTGATCAATGTCCTCCTCACCGGTCGCGCCGGTCCAGCTGCCGAACAGTTCCTTCTCGGAAACCTGACCGAAGGCGTGCTTACCCGGCTGGAGAAGCAGTCGCATACGGCCACGTATGCGCTCAAGAGGCTCATATCCGACAGCCTCAGGCCGGCGCTGGAGCGGTGCATCGTCTGCATGACCGGTCTTTTGGGTCAGGTGCGGTTCTTGGGCGAGAGCGACGGCAAGTTGCGAGCTGCACTCAGGATTTTGCATGCTGCCCTGGACTCGACGTTGAGCCTGGCGAAAGAGGTCGACCTGGAAGCGCTGTTTTCGCAGGAGTTTTATAGATGGTGCAGGACCGAGAGGGAGAGGCAGGAGAGGATCAAGCAAGACCAGGACGAGCCCAGACTGCCCATTACGTACGATGTTCATTACGTGGCAAGCTACATCGACAGAGGATTCAAAAACGAGCAGATCCACGCGAGGATGGGCAACGACCTTCCGGCCGAAGCGGTGGGTGGAATCCTAGCTGACAAGGCAAAGCAAGCATCACTGCAGGGAATATTGGAACGGGCGAGGACGTTCCTTGCTGCTCCAGGCGAGGGCAGAGCCAAGAACCAGTTGCATGAAGAGGTGGCGGAACGGCCACACAAGGCGCCACTGGCAATCGTGCCCACGCTCACCAGAGCGGTGAAGATGCTCGGCGACTGTTTAACGCAGCTTCTCGATGCAAGGCTGGAGGACGCTGTGGTTGAACAAACAAGCTCGCGCGAGTTCGCAAGTTCAGGCTGGAAATTGGCTCAAGAGCCAGCTCCGGCATTATCATCATCGTCGTCCTCGGATCTTCAAGAGCGTACAAAGCGCACATGTACAGCGTCTGCAATGTCCGCAAATACTCTGTTCTCGGCGTATATTCTTCGATCGCATTCCGAGGATCCGACGTCAGCCTCTAGCAAGGCCTCCAGCGTCCTTGCTATTCGTCAAAGCACCTCATCCGATTCGAACGAGGCCGCCTTCGTACACTTCTGCATCACGACCACGGACACCGTCGCGATCGTCGACCTCGGCTTTTATGGCGACGTAGAGCTGCTCATTCTCGCCACGCTGCGCTCTACGTCAGCCGGTGTCTTGCTCGCTTTCAACATTGCCGATCTCCCCTTCTCAAGCGGCGGTGGTGGATTTGTCGAGGTTACACCGACTCGCGCGACAGAGTTTGAACCGGACTTCAAGCCCGCCAGACTCGCGGTCAACACCAACAAGCAGACAGTGGCCGTGATCGAAGAGGACGGGAAGCGGATCGTATACCTGGACATCTCGGTGGTTGAAATGCGCGACGTGGCGATGCAGGAGATGTGGTGAATGTCAGCTGTCGCTATGCCAATTGTCCTGCGCTTGTGATCATCTGTGTGCATCTGAGCCAGGTTTGGGTGTGAGACATGTAGCCAAGTGAGACCTCTCCCTGCCTTCACCGGTTATGCTGTAGCTTGCGTCCGATCGTAGGACGGGTCAGCTCGTGCTGAACCATCGCTGTGTGGCCCCTTTGAGACGCCTGCCTCTTGCAGCCCACGAAACTTCGTCAATAACGAGCACCAGGGTTCCAACGAGAGTCAGCACCATCAGCTCCGCCGAAAGCTGTCCACCTGTTGCATACGCAGACGTATGCAACAGCTGCGTATGCAACAGGTGAAGGTGTCAAAGCTGTCGGTGATCCTAACGACGCTGACGAAGACTCCCCGTCTCCGCAGATCGCCTCGCAGAGTGCTCGTCGCTTCCCGCCCCTGGCCGTCTTGCCTACCGTCCTTCGTCGCCATGATGATACGCGAAGCATTCTTGGTCCACCGTCAAGGATGAACACGTCGTCGTCGACTGCGTGAATCGCGATTTACATTCACAGTGCAGTTTTGTAGTATACTTGTCTCTGACAAATTGGCGTCCATACAAGCAACATGTCTCTATCGGAAGCAGACTGTGTCGATCAAGAACTGTTGAAGTTCAAATCCAGCTCTGCAACTTGTGTTCGGACACCTTTTGCTTGAGTCTAAAACTCAACAAGAACACGACGGTCTGAGACACCGAATGACCGTGCTTTCACGACTTTCCGGCCGTTGATTTATTTGTTGATACATCTTTGATCACGGGAATTATAACCTTGCAAAAGTCGAGAAACAAGGTGCGATGCTCTGCTGGGCACGCGGAGGACAAAAAGCGGGTTAGAGTCAAAGATCTCGAGCATTTTTCGAACAAATATGTTTCGAATCGTGTCATTTCGAAGAACGACTGGCAATTGTTGTGTGACAAGTCAGAGACTCCACCGCAATATATGCCAAATTACCTATTGACAGTCTGAGAAAATATTTGTCGTCAGATTGGCGATCGGGTCACTGGACAAGATCAGATCGTCGAACGTCTGACCAAAACGAGCACGAGAAGACCCCTCTCTCCAAAAAGAGTTTGGCGTTGTTGAGTTTTCCAACTCGGGCAAAAGTCTGGGTCACTTAAGTTAACTTATTTGAAACAGGCTTCTGGCGTTTTCAGCGTGTATGATGGTCACTGCACAACCATCAGCATTCCTCATATCTGTGACCGACTTGCCGTCCATCAAAGTCTCACGACCCCCTGACCCGGTGGACGGTAAGGGACCCAAATGAGACTATAATACTATGGTGAGGTGACAGCGACCACCAACGACGGCGCCGACTTGCCAACCAGTGAGGCTTGTGTGAGGGAGGATATCGCAGTGCTTCGACGCGGCGGACGAACAACGGCTGCAACAAGACCGCAGGGTTCTCGTGTCGGTGCCCGAAGGCAGCTTTCCAGCCGCGTCGGAAGGGGCTCAAGCTCAGAACGGATGGGCTTGAAGAGGCAAGCTCGGGCCCGATCACAGTATGAAGAGTAAGAATGTCTGTGGACCAGATGGATCTGCATGATGTCCATGTCGAAGCTAAGAGGTGGGTTGAGAGAAGCTATGATCGAGATGACCTGGGCTCACATATCAATGGAACAGTTCTGAAAGAGGCATGCTCAGCAAACCGCACCTGTGCACGCAGTTGAGACGCGTCAGCAAAGCTCAGACCAAGAGACGACATGCATTGGCGTTGTAAGTAGCAGCGGATAGCGTCGGACGATGCGTCTTGAGCATTGACGAGTGGACACAAAGCGAGGTGTCGATCATGATGCGCAGATGAACGGCCGTCAGATAAGATATCGCCGACGATCCCTGTGACCTTTCACACGAGCGTGAGAGGGAGGATCCTAAGAAGGGTCCTTGCAAGATTTTCCTAACCACCAACTCAGCCTTCCGCTTCCCTTTTGTCCTCTACTTGTTGCGTGTGAGAAGGCTGCTTCTGTGATTGCCCTGAAATAATCTGAATTTGAAATCTGGGCTTTCTTCGCTGCATCTGGGCGTTGCCGCCGTCCGTCGTCTTGGGAAGGTGTGTGGAGGCCATCGATCGACTCATTCGCAGCTGGAGCGCATACTGACCAAATCTCCCCGCACGCAGCCTAGTGTCTCACCACCACCTCACTGCCGGCGAAGGCATCTCCGACCATTCTCAAGACACAGATTGCTCCGTCTGATATACCCATCCATACCCCCTGCACGGCGAACCACTATACAACATCAACGCCAACCAGATCCGCAGTAAGGCGGCCGCAACTCATCAAGATGCCATCCGTCTTCAAAAGCATACGCAAGACCTTCACCAAGTCGTCCGAGAGCAAAGCATCCAAACGCAAGAGCTCCACGCTAACCGCGGCGCCGGCGCCACTTCATACGGCGGAAACCACGAAAACCACGCAGATCCTCGAATCTCCTCTCACCACGGATGCATCCAGTAGTGTCCAAGGATCTGCATCAACGTCCGCATCCACCGCATCTACCTTTGGAACCATCGACAGTCGCGTACATTCGAATTCTACCGATTCGAGCGGCGGAAGAAGGAGGACGTTTCCTCTCGACATCGCCAAGCAGGCTGTCGATCAAATCGTCTCAAGATCGGTCATCTCCGTCGACTCGATCAAGGTCAGTGATTTAGCTTCTGATGGCTTTCTCCTCAGTCTGCACATTCGAATCGGCAAGACAGGCCCGACAAAAGCGAAGATCACCTTCCCCGACGGCCTTGGCCTCTACCTCAGCCCTACAGATACGAAAAGAGTCGGGATCGTCAGCTTGCCTCCGATCAAGATCAGGAATGCGACCAGGACCAGTGGTCTGACCGTAGAAGGCCGGCTTACGGCTCCCGCGACAGGTACTTCGTCTTCATCAGGGGGGCTCGACGCCCTCTTCCGCGCTCTTTTGACTGCGAATAGCTCCACCACCTTGAAGGTTGCCTCGTCCACCACCGAAGTGAAAGCGTACGGCATGTCCTTCAAACGGATCCACCTCGAGAAACAAATCATCCTTCAGGGATTGAACCATCTCGACGGTCTCCTTTCCTTCGGTCCTGCATCCACGACGTCTTCCTCCAACAACCTTCACCGCAGACCTGTCCAAGGCTTTGAAATTGTCGACGGTCACCCAACGTCTGGCATCTCGTTCAAAGCAGAGGTGCAGCTCAACAATCCGGCAGAAATCACAGCAAAACTCGGCGACATTCGTCTGAAGCTGCAGACCGATATGGACGAACTCAAAGCCAAAGAATCCGACCAGAACGGCTTCATTGGAGAGGTTGTTTTGCCCAATCTCTCTCTGAAACCTGGCTCCGCCACCATCGCCATCCAGGGAAACGTGCTAGTCGCACCTGAAGGCGATCCTGCGCGCATCGGCGGCGTCACGTTGATTCGATATCTTCTCGAGAATCGCTCCATCTCGATCAACGTGGTGGGCTCGGAGTCGTCTTCCGATATCCCGTGGATTGCCGCGCTTTTTTCGAACGTCCGCATTTCGGCGATGCTACCAGCTCTCGGACTCAGTTCCAAGCTACTCGACGGCGCATCTCTGGTTCCCCCTGACGAGCTTGACGCGTTGCCTGCTCAATCTCAACAGCTTTATGCCCGCGCCACGCTTCGCAATCAACTGGGTCCGCCGCTTCACATCAGCTCACTCAAAGTCAAAGCGTATCAAGACTTCGAGCCTGATACAACAGGGTCGACATCTGACCCCGCAATTCGTGACTCGATTTGCCTCGGAGACATTGTAACTCCTTCTGACTGGCCCACGCTGACGCTTGCTTCAGACAATCCCGTTCATGCCAGTCTTCCCTTCACTCTTTCGGCCGGAGGAGCCTCGTACGTGCGTATCCTCCAGAACGAGGCCAAGAGGAAAGGTATCGAGCTGAATCAGAATCTGGAAGCAGCACTGGCGCTCATGCCAAAGGGCAAGATGGGACAAGACAAACCTACAGCTCGAGCTCCGCCGCCACAGAAACGCGACAAGGATGCACCACAGGAAGCGCTCGATCTGCCCAACCTCGTCGCTAGTGCTCTCTCCTCACTCAAAGTATCGGCCCATGTCATCGCCGACGTGTCGATCGGCGACTATCGAATCCCTGGCGAGATCAACTTTGTCCAGCATCAGCTGCCCATCGCCATCACGGTCAAGACAGCGCGTAGCATTCTGCCGACCGTTGGCGCTCCGCTCGTCGATGTCCTGATCGATCAGGCTCAGGTGTCCATCACCAAGTTGAAGATTCTTGATATGGACGAGAAAGGACTCAACGTCGAAGCCGACCTCGGCTTGGTTGACTTTGGACCTCTGGACGTCGAGATCCACCTGGTGCAAGGTCTAAACATCACCACACCTGCCTTGGGGTCTGAAGCCGAGTCGGAAGTGATCGCACGCATTGTCTTTGCGGAACCTCTGCGTGGAGTTGCAGGAAGCGACGAGCTGATCAAGACTCATCTGCGCATCCTCCCAGCGGCAGGCCCAAAGAGCGTGACCAACTTTGCAGCCTTCGTCTCTGAGCTCATTCGCGGTGACGAGCTCCCGATTCGGCTGTCGTCCGACGCTTGCCGAGTTGTAGCGGGTGGAGCTGATTTTCCAGCTGTCTTGACCAAGTTTGTCACCTTGCCAGGCCTCGGCGGTCTGCAGGGGCTGACACTCGATGAGTTCGACATCTTTGACGAGGTCGCAGCTCCAACGGGTCCCGGACGAGGTAGAGCACTGAGCTCTGCCTCCGCGTCCAGCGCCGGCTCTATTCCTCTCGGCCTCAAGGAGAAAGCGTTCAAGATCAGGGCTAGGGTCCGAGTCCCGCACAAGGGCTCCGTCGCGGTCGCTCTGGCCAAGATCGAAGCCGGTGTCGAGTTTGAAGGAGTGCAGATCGGCATCATCACTGCTGAGGATATCGTCTTCACTCTGACCGCGACTGACGTCGAGTTCGATGCCAATGGCTACATTTTCATTGGCAGCGAGTCTCTGAAGGAGCACCAACCCATTGCACAGTACAGGCAAGCCGCTCTGGACGCGTTCGGCCGACTCGCCACCACCCTCTTGTCTGGCACGCCCGCCGACCTCACCATCTTGGGCTATCGAGCATTTGCAATGGGAGAGATGCAGCACATCTCTTCAAGCCGGACTCAGGTGCCGGCGCATCTCCGAAGCAAAGTGTCATCGACTTCGATGCAGAAGACGCTTTCCGCCTCGGCCCCTTCCAGAACGTCCAGGACGGCTTCTGTCAGCACGTCGGGAAGCGTGACGTTCGCACAGAGGCAGGTGCCCTGGCTGGATCAAGCTTTCCAGAAGGTGTCGGCCAAGACAGTCCTCCACCGACAGATCAGTCCGGTCATCAAAGGGATGCAGATCAAGCAGCTCTTTGCGAGCTTCCGTCGGGAGCAGCCGATGGACGCCGACATTGACGAGATCGCCTTCGAGGTCCAAGTGCCGCTCAGTGTCCGCTTCGAGGTTCTGTCCGTCCAGGCAGACATCGAGGTGCACTTTGAGGGCTACGGCTGTGTCGGAACCGGATTGATCGACACGAACGTGCAGTCATGCACTCCGATCGAAGAACGCGAGCAAAGTGTTGTTGAAGATGGGCCCGCGAAGTCATGCCGTATGGTCCGCCTCGCTCCTGGATCGTTCAAGCTTGTCACCAAGCCGACTGAGGGACTGGCACAGCTCATCGCACACATTGCCGATTGCGAAGAGACAAACAAGATCAGCATTCGCGGCAAGGCTCGTGCTCGCGTCGAGGTCGCGCTCGGGGAGGTCTACGTCGACGTCGATCTTGGAAAGCAGCCTCACATCCTGCACATGGACGGCGTGCGCGGGCTGCGTTCTAGCCCCGTTCAGTATACGAATCTGCAGGTCGTCGACGCGTCCAGTGACTTTTTGAAGATCGTCTTTTCGCTGTACCTCAATAATCCGTCCAAGACGTTCCAGCTGGCGCTTCCGGACACGGAGCTGACCATGGCCGCCTTTTATCGGGGATGCTACGTGGGAAGAGCTCACATTGCCAAGGGTTTCAAGCTCGAGTCTGGACCGGTCGCGGTGCACGACATCTACTTTCGCTACTGTCCACCGCTCGACCAGGAGAAGTCGGTGCGCGACATCCCCGCCAACTTCCTGTCGGGCCGCACGACAACGCTCGAAATCAGAGGTGACGACGAGTCGAGCGAGATTCCCATTCTTATCCCCGCGCTCAAGAACATCCATCTTTCGTTCGAGCTCAGGCCGATGATGGATCGAACCCTCATCGATAGCATTTCCATCACGCTCGGCGTCACTGCTCTGACGGCTCATTCGGTTGACGCAGTATTTGTGGTCAACAATCCGCTCGGTGTACCTTTCGATCTGTGTGCTATGTCGTTCATGGCTTCGTACAAGGGGCAGCCATTCGGCAGCTGCACGGTCACGTACGAGTCTGAGCATCCCCTGCGAGTGCCTTCGGGCACTGTCAAGCAACCTGGTCAGCAGCGCAGCTCTCCTGTCGCGGTCACCCTGGCTCAACCACTCGAAAGCACGGTGGGCGCCTTTCTCAAAAGCAAGGGCACCATCATGCTCGATCTCGAGGTGACTGCCCGCGTCGAGATTCAAGGCTTCAAGATTCCCGTCTTTAATTATCATCAGCCAGCGCTGCCGCTCAGCATCAAGGGCTTGGACGGCATTTCCAAGATCATGAAGTTCCTTGGTTGAATGGCGGGCTCCCATCATCACGCTCCTTTTGCACACTGTTACACTCGTTTTCACCATCACGCTCGTTCTGCTCCCGAGATGTCCATCCTACAGATGCCGCATTTTGCTGTGCCGGACAAGGATTCGCAATCGCAACGGACAAACTTGATCACATCGTTGCGCACGTTTTGACTGTATGTGGCTGTCTCTTGCCGAGGAATCATCGCTTCTTGCTCGGTGGTGGAGGCAGCAAAGGACCACCGCCGAATCCACTGCCAAACGCTGACGATGAGCTTGAAGACGACGAATTGATCTTGCGACCACCACCGCCGGGCAGCTTGATGGCAAACGTCTGGCCCTCTTTAAGCGAGAAATCTTGCTTCGGTCCGGCAGGAAGGTGTGGTGACGGGCCTTCATCGATCAGGGAGCCGTCATCGTTCCCTGATGAGTCGGCGGCTCTATTCGCAGCTGCTTTTTGACGTCTGTTCGAGTCAAGAGGCGGAACGGAATCGTAGGTCAGCGATTCCAGCAACGCGATCGCGCGAATAGTGCATTGACTTACTTTGTCCAATCTTGAAGTGCAACGTTGAAATCGAAGCTATCGCTTCTATCCTGAAACTGTGCAGCGAGGATCCGTGATCAAAGGAATGATGAGCATACGCTGATGTTGGTTTGCGGCCAACGACCCGCCGAGGGAGGTACTCACGCCCATGCCAATGTAGGCCTTCTTCTTCCTCCCATCAGGACCATCGGACTCGACTCTGAGCACAAAGTACCTACTCGAATCGAGCACAGGCTCGACCGAAGTGCCCTTGACGTCGTAGGGGCACGCAGCAAAGAGCTCTCCTGAATCGCCATCCTCTAAGCGGATCGAGCAGGTGTCTGAGCCGGAATTCTCCATGATGCGCAAGCGACCCTTCCAAAGAAATGCCTCCATGTCGCCCCATTCAGCTGCTTTGTAGCCCGCGGTTGAGGAACGAGGCGGTACACGGTAGACGAAGCACTCGCGTGCTACGAACAGGACCGTCTCGTACCCCGACATACTGTGCAGTCTATGTTGTTGTAAGCGAGGCTGGGAGTCAATGAAAGTGAGCCGAAGTCGTTTGGTGAAGATAACGACGAGAAGGTGAATTCGCAAAGCAAGACCAACACCCTGCGAAATGCATACCAAAAACGACGTGGAACGTGCGCTGCGCATCGGTTCTTCTCACTCGGCACGGAAAAGACGCCGAGCACAAAGGCAAAATAGCTTGCGCTGTGACTCTTGAAGGCCGACACAGTCCCTCCTCGCATCGTAGCAGTACGGGAAAGGCTACATAAGCGGTTGCAATGGCTAGACCGAACTGAGCCCCCCCAGATTCGAATCGAAGCTTGTGTGATGCTGGGTTGGCTCGAGTCGAGGAAAGAAACGAAGCAGACGCGCTGTGCTGCCGTGTGGTCTCGCTGCAGTAGTCAAAGCCTGATTCAGGGTCCAACACCTTGGCCGATTTGCTTCTTTTCGCAATTTTTCCGACTTTCTTCTCATTCCACTGCGCCGACACACAGAGAGAGGGGCGCAGAATGTGACTGATTGCTCAGCCAACTTTGATGCTTTACTTTGGCACCATCATCACCTCCATCATCGCCATAGTCACACGGATCGCTGACAACGTTCTACATCTGTGACTCATCGACGGCTCATCCGCAACTTTGGACATCATCTGACTCCGGAGCAGCCGTTGTGGGACTGATCACTCGATCGCCATGGCCGACGCATCCTCAACCTGGCGAAGCGGCGCCTCCTCTTTCTCACCTGTCACCCCCAATCCGACTGGCAGTGGTAGCAGCAGCAGCAATTGGGGGCGTGGGAACAGCACAGCCTCGTCTCAGAATATCAAGAAGAAGGCGCCGGGCGGAGGTGGAGGCGGCTCTTCTCGATCAAAGGCAGGCGGCGCTTCTGCCTCGAAACCAGCTTCAGCTTCCACAGCACCTTCCTCGTCCACCTCCAATTTCAGATCGGGCGCACCTGCAAAAGCGACCAAGTTCCTCCCGACTCAGCCGCTCCCTTACCAGTCGCTACAGAACATCAAGGACTACTACCATGGCCTCCTCGATAGCGGTCTCATCAAGAAATCTTGGCTCGACCATCCAAAGAACCCTATCCAAAACTATGTCCTCCACCGAACCGGCACCTACCCCGTCTTCACCGTCGAAGAGGGCCAAGTCGAAGGTCGAAGGGACACCAACTTCCGCTGCACGCTCATCTTTGATCCAGAATACGACTGGCACGTCTACGCCGATGCTAAGTCTGCAAAGGACGCCGAACGTGTAGCTGCACTTCACGCCGTCCTCTTCCTCCAAAACAGCGGCGACATTCTCACAAAGACGCCTACTGCATCTGCACCCGCTCCGCTCGTCCCTCAGCAGCAAGGTCCCGTGGCCAAACTCAGCGATGGCTCCGAACTCACCGTTCAGCGCGCTCGCGAGTTCATTGACTTTTACTGCAAGCGCTTCAATCTCGGCAAACCAGACATTCGACAGTCGGCAGGAAAGCAGGGCAAACCTAAGCGTGGCGCTTCAAAGGCAGCCACCTCGTCTTCGAGTCAGCCGCATGCTTCCATGTACATTGCTGGCAACGAGATTGGCGCAGCTGTAGGCAAGAACAAGAAGCAGGCGGTCGCCAACTGCTACCTCGAATCCGTATCTTACATCGAATCCACCGATCCTTCCTTGTGGAAGACCTTTTCACTCCTTCACAAGCCAGGCGTAGCCATCAACAAGGCGCCTCATGTCACCTTCAGCATGAGCGACGAGCTCGACGATTCAGTCCAAAATATCTACGACACCATGATCCGAAGCAAGATCTACGCAAAGCGTCCACGTACCGCCGGTCTTACCGCTGCGGGGGAAGATCCCAATGCCGCTTCCAACGATGCCAACGAGCAGCTCGCAAAACAACGACAAATGCGTCAATACCGTGCACGTCGCTTCAACCAGCAGTTTGGCGCAACAGAAGACTCGCTTCAACGCAAGAGCGAGCAACTCGAACTCTCGCTTGCCAACTACTACTCGGACGAGGCCATGGCCAAGATGCGCAGCCAGCGTCTCAGCCTTCCCGTCTCGCAGAAGCAGTCTGATGTCCTGGTCAAGGTTGAGCTTAATCAGGTCACCATCTGTATGGCCGCTACAGGTTCGGGCAAGACTACTCAGATCCCTCAGATCCTGTTCGACGATTACATCCTCCAAGGCAAAGGTGCCAAGTGCAACATCGTCTGTACACAGCCTAGACGTATCGCTGCCATCAGTGTCGCAGAGCGTGTCGCCAAGGAACGCGGCGAGCGGCTTGGTCAGACGGTCGGATACCAGGTTCGTTTCGAGGCCAAACCGCCTCAGCCCAACGGCTCCATCACGTTCTGCACCACTGGTGTCTTTTTGCGTCGACTACAATCGGCGCTGGGAGATGCAGAGTCGTCCAACACTTTCCTCGACTCCATCACTCACGTCGTCATCGACGAGGTGCACGAACGTGATGTCGAGACAGACTTGCTGCTCGTCGTCATCAAGCGTCTCTTGGCTGAGCGACGCAGATTGGGCAAGAAAGAGATCAAGGTGGTGCTCATGAGCGCTACCATCAATCCCGCCCTCTTCCAAAACTACTTTGCCGATCCTACCGGCCAACCTGCCCCCGTCGTAGAAATTCCTGGTCGAAGCTACCCGGTGGAGAAGCACTATCTGGAAGAGACGGTGCGCAACCTCGAGTCGCTCCGTCTCACTCCACAAATGGGCGGCTGGGTCTGGGGCGAGAAGAACGTCCGCGACTACATCGAACGCGAAATCTACCAGCGAGGCGGTTCCGCATCACGCAGCGGCAGCAGCGGCGGTGCTCGAGGCGGTTCCGGTGGCGGCGCCAATGAGCTGGTGGATCCGATGGCAGACCAAGTCGACGACCTCGAGATTCCGTATCCACTCGTTGCCCTCATCATCGCCTACGTGCTTTCCATATCCAACGATGGTCACGTCCTCGTCTTCTTGCCCGGTTGGGACGAGATCAAGGCGGTCAACCTTCTGCTCACCGACACGCAGAACCACCCGCTCCTCCGCACCGATTTCAACGACCGTGATCAGCACGAGATTCATATCCTCCATTCGAGCGTTCCCGTCCAGGACCAGCAGGCCGTCTTCGAACCCGTGCGTCACAAGGGCATTCGTCGCATCATCTTGGCCACCAATATTGCCGAGACGTCCATCACCATCCCGGATGTGGTTTACGTCGTCGACACAGGTCGAGTCAAGGAGAAGCGCTTCGATCCAGAGCGCCACCTTTCCAGTCTCGTATCGGCCTGGGTCGGCACTTCCAACCTCAATCAGCGTGCAGGTCGTGCTGGTCGTCACCGACCCGGCGAGTACTTTGGTGTTCTCAGCAAGGCTCGTTACGATCGGCTCAAGGTCAATCAGACGGTCGAGATGAAGCGCACTGATCTCAGCAATGTCGTCATGCACATCAAGGCGCTCGACATTCCAGGCATGGAGGTCGAGGAGGTGCTCGCTTCGGCCATTGAACCACCCGCACCAGAGCGAGTGCTGGCGGCGATGGAGAAGCTCAAGATGGTGGGTGCACTCGACCTGTACAAGAATCTCACATCTTTGGGACGTGTGCTGCTGCAGCTGCCTGTCGATGCACCTATGGGCAAGATGTGCCTCTATGGCGCCTTCTTCCGTTGCCTCGACCCGGTACTTTCGCTCGCAGCCATCTTGACCAGCCGAGACCCGTTCATGGCACCCATGCACCTGAGGGAGGAGGCCGAGATGGTCAAGGATCGATGGTGTCCGCCAGACTTCCGATCCGACGCACTGTGTATTCTCAGGGCGTACACGCGCTGGTGGGAGATGCAGTCCCGCGGCGACTTTGTAGCTGCCAACCGCTTCTGCCAGGACAACTTCCTCAGCAAGCTGACGCTCCTCCAAATTCAGCAGGTCAAGGAGCACCTGTTCCAGTCGATGGAGAAGGCCGACATCATCTCGGTCATTCAAAGCTCCTCGCTCGCCGCCAATGGGAACGGCAACACCTACGCGCGCTTCCGGCGCCCTCGCGAGACGGACGCAGAGTTTAACACCAATGCCGACGTCACGTCGCTGCTCGCTGCGCTGGTCGCAGTCTCGTCTCCACCGAACTTTGCCATTCGAAGCGGCAAAGCGAGCTACCGAACGTCGCAGGACAAGTCGTGCCTCATGCACCCTTCTTCGATCTGTCACACCAAGTTCACCAAGCACAAGCCATGGGATGCCGCCAACATGGGCGAGAAGGAGATCTTCGCGTTCAGCGAGAAGATCCGCAACGCGTCCGGCAGTGCGGGTAACAACGCCTCGACCATGCTGCGCGGCTGTACGCGGCTGGACCCGCTGACGTTCATGCTGTTTGGCGCGACCGAGGTGAGGGTGCTGGGTGAAGGTGTGGAGTGCGACTTTTGGCTGCCGATCACGGGCAACACGGACTCGTTGGACAACTTGGAGAAGCTCAGGTCGATCCTGGACGTCATCATGCTTCGTGTCTTTGAGGGCATTGGCAAGGCGAGGAAGAACGGATCGCAGCAGCAGAGAGGGGAGAGGAGGACGACAGACGAAGACGAGGACGAGGCCGGCGCGGATGACGACGATGACGACGAGGATCAGCAGTGGGGAGACCGAACGGATCTCTCGCTCTCGGCGCAGGAGATCGGCGAGTTCGAGTACATGAGTCAGGGCATCGTGCACATTCTGGATGGTTACGCGCAAGAACGAGGCTGGGGATCGAGCAGTCGAGGGTCGACGCGTCCAGCTAGTCCAGCCTCATTCGGTATGGGAGGCCTCAGCTTGCAGGACACGAACGCGAAGACCCCGTCAGCGGTTTCAAGCGGAGTGTACGCCGCGGGCAGTCGCGGCGGCTCGTCGACGAACTTGTTCTCGGGCGGCGATGGCGTCGGTCTGAACTCGGTGCCGTCAAGTGCACCTCGAAGTGCAGCGACGAGCAACGGGGGAAGTCGATGGACGAGTCGATCTCAAACGCCTGATCTGCATCATCAGCACCGGCCGCAGGCAAGCATTGCGCCGAGCGTTGCGGCCAGCACGACAACAGACGCAACCAGCGCTACGAACGTCACTCGTGCCACCAAGAGCAGCAAGAGTACGGCGACATCGCGTTCCTCTGGAACTGTGGAGGGCGCTGCCACGGCTGACGCGGGAAAGGCCAGCAAAGGTGGGAAAGGAGAAGGCGCTAGAGGCAACTGGAGGGCACGAGGTGGCGCTCGAGGTGGCGCAGGAAGAGGCGGCGCCGGTCGAGGAGGTCGTCAAGCAGCTGCTCCGTCTTCTGGCTGAACATGTGATCGGATAGCATGTTTTCCACCGCCCTGCTTGTCCATCCGAGCTCGTCGCAAAGCATCGTCTCTGCAAGCTCGATTGCCTCCGCGATTGTGCTAATGGCGCCATTGCAGAAGGTGTGGTGCTCAGATCCGACGCTGAGACCGCGCGTGTGTTGCACTGCTGGGGCTGACAGCCATTGATCCGCTCGCGGCCCAATGCAGTCGCTGGTGTCCCCATGCTGCGTCGAATTGAGAAACAGCCCTCGTGCGCCGCCGATCTCTTTGGCTCGGCCCTTCGGATCCGCTCGCCCACTGACGAGCAAGATCCGCCGGAAGAGGCCTGTCATAGGAGCCGGCACTGCAGATTAGTCGACGAGCAGCCAAGATGCCGTGCCGGCAGATGCAGCCAAATCAGGCGTGAACCCTCGGCACAGGGTCCAAGTGGGATGATGCAGTCGCTGCCGTTGATCGGCACCTTTTTTTCATGCGGCTAAGGATGAGTTGTCACGCAGCGCGGGATGAAACCAAATTTTGCCGCCGGCTGGCGTTGGCGCCCCCCTGAACGGGAGGCTATTCTCATTCTTGCGAACCGTCTTATGCTTGGTTTTCTCCGGATGCAGCATCCGCTCTCTTGGAAGGGCAGGTGTCCGCTGTGCCAAGATTCGGGCTGCGAGGCGGCCTGGGAGGGCTGCATGCGCAACGATTGTGGACTCGAACAGGTTGTTGATATACATGAGCATATGAGCATCTGATTGCCGTACATCCGCTCCCCGCTTTCCAATTTACCTCACTCGGCCCCCTCATAGACATCATGTGGAAGCTCACGAGCATAGCACTGATCGTGCTGCTAGCGCTGACCGCTCTGGTCAGCGTCGACGCCCACGTTGGCCGTGGAATGCCAGTGCACCACCACTTGCAACCTCGCCTTGGCCAGACGACCGACCGTACCCTCCCCGTTCAGATCTATCGTCGTAACACGCCGCACGACAACGCACGCCAGTCATCATACCTTCACGATTCTGTCCAGGACAACATTCGTCGAGCCTCGGCATTGAACAACCACCAACTACCCGCATTTGACCGACGTCAGAGCTCGACCGACTTTGGCGGGTCCACTTCCGGCGGGTCCAGCGCACAAGCAGCATCGCATGGTACCACCGAAGCGCAGTCTGCGTCGCTCACTGACGCTTCGACCGAATGCACGCCGTACAGCCTGCCCATCATAGGCGCAATCAAGTCACAGTTCCCCGTTGTGTGGACGGTGGCAGACCTCATGGAAGGGGACACGGAAGCGCTGGAATTGCTGCAGAGCATCAACGCCTCGGGTCTCGTTCCTACTGACATCGAAGCTAGAGGGACGCAGCCCAGCTCGCTGAACGGCACTGCGCTAGCAGGCACCTATCCGCTCGGCGAGGACCCGGACTGCTGGTGGACGGACAAGATGTGCACCCAACCCAAACACCCGGGATTGCTAGCGGACATCACATCGTGCGCAGAACCCTACACTTGGGGATACACATTCGACGACGGGCCCAACTGCACGCACAATGCGCTATACGACCTCTGGGCGGCGAACAATCAAAAAGCGTCGCTCATGTACATCGGATCCAACGTCCTAGACTGGCCGCTCGAGGCGCAACGCGGAATCGTCGACGGGCACCACATCTGCGTTCACACGTGGAGTCATCGCTACATGACGGCCCTCACAACCGACCAGGCGTTCGCCGAGCTGTGGTACACAATGAAGGCAATCAAGTACGTCATGGGGGTGACGCCGACCTGCTGGCGCCCACCTTATGGCGATGTGGATGATAGGATTCGGGCCATCGCCCAGGGTCTCGGACTGCGGACGATCATGTGGGACACAGACACAAATGATTGGAACATCGAGCCGTACGGACCGATTCCGACCCCATCGATGCAGGCAACGTACAGCAGCATCATCGCGATGGCCACCCAGTCCGCCGCTGCGCAGGGAGGCATCATTGTACTGGAACACGAACTCGAGCAGTCGGCCATGAACATGTCCATCGAGCAATACCCTGCGGTCAAAGCGGCCTGGAAGCACGTCGTGCCTCTAACGGCGTGTCTGAACATCACAAAGCCGTATGCGGAGGACATTGCGTATCCAGACTTTGCGGACTATATCGGCGGTAACGTGAACCCTTCAGGCTTGCCAGATGGACAGATGTCGATCAGCTCGACGGCTGTGGTGAGCGCGCAGACGACGCTCAGCGTGACGGGATCCACGTCCAGCACGCAGAGTGCGACCTCGAGCGCCAGCTCGTCCGCCAACAGTGCGGCTTCCAGCTCGACGGGGAGCTCCAGCTCCAGCTCCAGCTCGTCCAGCTCGAGCAGCAGCCAGCAGCAGAGCAGCCACTCCAACGGCGCCCCCGTTGCGCTGGGCATGTTCACATCCGTCCTCGTGGGCGCCTGCGCCATGCTGTGCATCCTGCTCATCCAGACGTGACATTGCATACCACAGAGATCACGCAGAAACTGTACCACACACACGCAATGCGAGGAGATAGAATCCCCTCGACCTTTCCCCCGAGTGAGCCGCGACGAGCCGAGAGGAAGCGACGGAGGACGGGGTGCAACAGCACGAGCAGCACGCCTGAAGCAGCAGCCATTGCTGTCACTGGCAATGCTACTGTGCCGTGCGGCTGAAGAGGTCGTGGAATAAGCCATTCGGTTCAGTGCCCTGGTTCAGTAGCCTCACCCTGTCGCTCTGTGTTTCGTGAATGTGCCAAGGATTGCAGGCATTCAAGCGAGCGCAAGCTCAACCCCACCAGGTCCGGCAAGGTACCGTATGTGCAATCAATGAACCTCCGAGAAGCTCGGAGAGCAGCTTCTGTACCGACAGAAAACCCACTGGCATCTTGCATAGTGTGCTCCGCAAAGCTACCGCACTTGTCCTCTTCGGCGCAGACGAGAGAGGTTGCTGGGACACCAACTCGACAGCCACCAGGCAGAATCGTCACTGCGGGAATAAATACAACGAGACCTACGGTGGATGTGAAATTAGAGCGATGACGAATGATACAAAGAAGACAGGCGCTTGGTCGTGGCTTGAGAGCGGTCACTGATCCGTCTCCATGGGTCGCTCTTGGCTGTGGAGGTTGGGGTTGGATGCTGGGACGCTCTCGCCCGCCAGCTCGGGGGCTATGACGGGCTCGGGTACGGCAGCAGGGGCGGCTGGCTCTGGAATACCGGCCGCGGGCGTGGGAGCGGGCTCGACGATGCCCGTCGTCTGTGCGGCGGTCGTCTCGAGCGCAGCGGGAGGCGGGGCGACCTCGTCGCTGCCAGACAGCACGCTGCTGCCGAGCGACGAGGCGACACGGGGCGGCTTGCTGGGAGTATCCCACGCTCCGCTCCTGTCGCCCTTGATGGGCGTGCCGTTGAGCGACTTGGAAGAGCTCGAGGATGAGAGACCTGCAGCAGCGGCTGCGGCCTCGGCGCTCTTGGTCGACGCACGCAGCTCTTCGAGGCTCACCAGGCTGGGCTGAGGAGGTGGCTGGCTGGGAGAGGGGACTTCACCGCCGTCCTGCTGCACGCGCTTTCGCACGAGTTTGGCATAGTGCAGACCGCAGGCGTTGCAGAGCGTGCGTGCGCCATCGGGACCTCGACGCCATTCGGGCGTCTCGCTGGACCCGCAGGCTTGGCAGGAGCCGGGCGCAGGTGCACGACTGCGCTTCTTGTACTGGGGGCCCTTGGCATCGCCGTCAAAGCCCGGCGAAGGGAACGACGTGGGCAGCGATCCGTCCGGGAAGACGCGGAGACCGGAGCTGGGAGTGAAGGGAGAGCCGGGAGCGCCTTTGTTGCCGTCCCAGTCGGAAGAGCGTTGACGCTTGCGAGCCGAATCGAGCTTGGATTCGGCGGGACGCTTACCGTGCTCGTCGGCGTCGAGCTGTCGAAGCGCGATCTCTGGCTGGGCGAGAAGCATGCTAAGGGACGAGGTGAGCTTGAGCGCCTTTTGGATGATGGTGCGCACCTTTTGGGGCGTGGGGAGGCTGACCTGGTTGACGTGGGCGACGGAGAAGTTGGCGATGGCGCTGGCGACCGAGTAGATCTCGCGAAGCTCGGATTCGACGTTGCGAGGGAGGCCAGAGGTGGTCTCCTCGGCGGGAGCCTCGCCATCCTGCTGTCCCTCATCGGCCTCGCCGGACGCGCCAAGAGCAACATTGGCGGCGTCAGCAGTGGATGCTGTGGCGTCGGCGTCGGTGGAAGTAGCGGCGCTAGCAGCAGCATTGGTGGCTGCGGTAGCGAGCTCAGTGATGGTCTGCGCAGCACTGGAAGCGTCAGCTGCAGCAGCCGCAGCAGCGGCGGCAGCGACGGCAGCAGCGTCCTGTCCCGTAGTGTCTACGCTGGCCGCGGCATCAGCTTCGGGTTCAGCGGCGACGACGACGGATTCCGGAAGAGACGCCTCCTTCTGGCCCAGGATGGAGGCGCCGAATGAGGATTCTGGCGCGGAAGCGGTGTTTGTGTGGTTCGCCTCGACCGAGACGGGAGCAGCAACGGCTGCGGCAGCGGGAGCAGAGGCTTCGCTCGACATGTTCTCGAGGCTGTGGACGGGCAAATGGGAAGAGTGAATGCTGATGCTTGTGATCGCGTGACTGCCTGCTGAGTCGAGGAGCACGCTTGCGGATTAGAGGCGACGCGATGCAGAGCGGGACTTGGTCGACGCCGAGGATGGACGCGACTTTCGGGATGAGCGACAAGGAGAGTAGCGAGGTCACGAGAGCAGTTGTCCGAAGCGACTGAAGAGGCAACCGAGGGAAGAGCAGAGTGTGACAGAGGAGCGGATGGAGATGAGAAGCAAGGATGACAAGGCTCAATGGAGCAACACCGGCTGGATCCGTCGTTAGAAGGAAGCAGTGATACGAGGAAAGGAGCGAAGGAGCTCGGCCTGCCCGATCGCGGGGTGTTGTGCCTGGTGAAATGGCGCAAGACTGAGCTGTGCGCAACACAGATCCACGATCCGAATTCAGCGAAAAGAAAAGGATCCGCCGATTTGAATTCCAAATCCAAATCGAACCGATCCAGCCTGTCAGACTAATTTGTATTCACTTTGCAGTTCAAATCGATAGCGGAAGGCGCCGCGATTCAGCACACACACTTTCAATTCACCTCAGAAACAACCTCGTTGAAGATGGAAGAGAGAGAATACTTACAATCTCGCCCCTCTTCTCAGTCGGATTCGCATTCACGGAGGCTGACGACCAAGCGTCAGCTTTGTCTCTAGACGAGGCACAGCCAAGCCGGAAGAAAGACGCCAAGATGGTCCATAAGGAGGGCGTATGCGGTCGTTCGTGTAGGTCTCGCCGCGATCGAGCGCTGTGCTGTGACTGATCCTTCCAGGCGGGGGAAGGGTTGGCATGCAACACATTGTATCGAGTTGAGCGCTAGACAAAAGCTGCCGCCTCGAAGCGCAGAGTTGCGGTTCCCGTCGAGGTTTCGTGGAGTGTGAAATCGGCAGCGGGCCAATCCCGATTAGGCTCGAAAAAGGCGTGGGAAAGCAGCGGAATGCTCCGACTGGCCTCGCCGTGCGTCTGTCTGCCATCTGTCAGCAAAAGAAAAGACCCTGCAGCCACAACAGCTCGCTTGCGATGGCAAAGAAGAGTCGACGACGGGTGCGCCGACATGCTGTCCTTTGTTCTGGTTGTTCGTGTTGGTGGCTGAGCTGTGAACAAAAGCCGCGGCATACCGCGCAGGCTGTTGCCACCACGGAATGAGTTGACAGGCTCGACACGACCATCTTGTCAAAAGACAACCGAGCCGTGAATTCCTCTTGGTGTCGGCTGTGCGGATCAGGCGGTCCAGGTTGGGTCGGGGCGGAGCGTTGCAGTCAAGTCAGCTAGCAGTCACTCGCTTCCTCACGACTTTGGACGGGTCAGCTGGCGCGGAGAGCCAGAAAAAGCACAAGCTCGCGTCTGGACCCCTAAATCCACCTTTCTTGAGAACACCATCTCCTCCGTTACGCTCGCCCTCGATGAACTTGCTGTGGGCGGCGTGGTGCAAATGAGATGGAGATGGAATGTTCTTCTTGGCAACCATGACGGCGAAACGAGCGAGATGAGATAGCGAAGGGACAATGTAGCTTAATCCGAAGGTGGGAAGGCAGCAGCAGCAGCAAGAGTGACATCGGTGGCCTTTGTCCGAAAATCAGCTGAGCGAAAGCCATCAATTTGAGCGCAGAAGTGACACAGACCCACACGCTCGCAACCAAGACACACACACACACACACACACACACACACACACACACACACACACACACAC